ATGTATGTATGTATGCCTTGACTAACAATGTTGAGGACTCACAAATTGTTTCCTCGAGAGAAGGCGGTTGGTCATGAACTTCCTAGTTCTGATAGTCACAGCCTTGTCTGCCATTTTTCTGCTGAAAAATTCTCCCTGGATTCAACCCGCTACTAGGGAGACGCAAAGTAAGAGAACGGTGAATTTGTCCTCCGTTCTCCGGTTCCGAGGGCCTACTCTGCGCTGTACTGACTTTTCCGACTAGGGTTTTAGTTAAATTAAATGACTCAGAAATCGACCATTGGGCGTTGGTGGGCCGTTAGTGGGCCGCATTACGCGGTGGCCGGTATTATGTGCGGCCTAATTTTTCATAGTGGGGAAATTACTATCACGCATTCACGCCATAAGGTTTGATCATAATTTTTTTTTTTGAACAAAGGTTTGATCATAATTGCAAATTTAACTTTGCATTTTCAAAAATTAATTAATTATGTCTCGAGATTTTATTTCCCTCACTACTTGCCTCTCATGTCAATATTGATCTAGTATTTCTTCCGTTCTTAAATAAGTCCAACATAATAAATTTTATACTATTCATATGTTTTTTTAACTCCAGAGGACATCTGGGGGAGAGGGGTTGGGGGAGCATGGAGTAATCTAAGCTGAAACTCATTTCATTGAGTTTCGAACCCGAGACCTCCCGTAAGGGAGAGTGAGTCGGCGACCACCTGGGCTGGACCGCTTCCTCTACTATTCATATGTTTTACTTTGATTATTTTTTATTAAATATGTTTGATTAATAATTTATTTTTATAAAAATGTTGTTAAACTTTTTTCATCATAAAGTTTCAATATCTAAATTTTTCAAATTTTTTAATAATAGAAAATTAAACATATTAACGTTTAAAGTTATGTGTTGGCAAACGTTAAAATTTGTTGAATAAATTTTTTAATTCAATAATTTTTGTTGCATTTATTTAAGTGGGGGTAGTAATTAAATTTATTAATTCAATAAATTTTGTTGAATAATATTCCCTTCGGCCACAAAAGAACTTCATTGTGTGACTTCATGGTTTTTAAGAAAGTGAATTTTTTTCTTTTGACTTTTCCATGATATCCCTCAAAAAGTATATTAAATGTGGTCAGAGAGAGAAAGTGATTGTAAAGTAGGCAATAAAGGATATAAGAGTAACGTTATATTACCAAAACTTATCAAAAATAGAAGTATAAAATTTATTTTGGACACGCTCAAAAAGAAAAGTATGAAGTTTATTTGAGACCGGAGATAGTACTTCTTGGGTTCTTTTTTAGTTACAACAACGGTAAATTTTACATTATTCACATATATTACTTTGATTACATTTTATTTATCATTGTATTATAAAATAAATTTTTGAAATACTTGAAGCTTTTGAAAGAAAAAACGGTCGTTTCCCACACAGTACAGTTCGTATACCATGCAACCGTCCCACGGTGCGCATGGTATACCTGGGAGAGCGAAGAAGCAGTTCGTATATTTTGGCTTTGTTATTTTTTATTTCTCCTTTTTTTAAAAATGTTAATAATTTTTTTATTTTTGATCCGATTTTTATAAAATTTATATCAAATTTTTTTATTTTTCATGATCTTTCAAATGAGACCAATATTGCCTATGTAATTTTAACATATTAACATTTGCGTGTAAAAATATGTAACTTTACGTGTTAAAATATGTAACTCACGTTCAGTCAGGTCAAATGCAACTCGTGTGTATAAATATGTAACTTTACGTGTAAAAATATGTAACTTGCGTTATTGATCAATGTAACTCCAGCTCATTCAAAATGTAACTTGTCAAATATTGATTTCAATGTAAACAATGAAAAAAAAGAGTCTAATTGCACAATTGCTTTAGGTAAAACGTGAATATGTTTTGTTTTTAATATCATGGTCATAAAAAAAAATAGAGAAGATCATTTTTTGTTTCAATAGCAGGGGTTGATTTTTTAATGTAACTCGTGTTATTACAAATGTAACTCGCGTTGATGACAGATGTAACTTGGGTTTATACAGAATGTAACTTGTTGGAAAATTGAACAATGTTTTTTTTTGTGATTGAGATATTATAAACACTGATTTCAATGTAAACAATGAAAAATTGATCCTAATAGCTTAATTACTTTTTTAAATAGTTGAATATGTTTTATTTTTAATATTAGGACAATAAAAATGATATAGCAGGGGTTTATTCCGTGGTGTAACTCGCATGCATTAAGATGTAACTCGCATATATTAAGATGTAACTCGCTTACATTAAGATGTAACTTGCGCAGAAGAAGTTGTAACTTCATGATATATGATCAAATGTAACTTCAAGAATCAAAATAAACAAACTCAATGTCTTAAAAACTTCTAAAACATATAAAAGTGATAAAAATTTATTTCTCATAAAAGTTTATAGAAAAAAAGAAATTGTAATCATATTTTAATAATCTTGATCATGTTTTTAACATTTTAATAAAGGAGATTAAATAATTGAAAGAAGAATATAAAAGAAAAGGAAGATATAGAAAATCAGGAAGAATGGCTAAACGAAGGGAAAGCAGGGAAAGGTAGTGGAAGTTTCTTATTCGTGATTTCAGCATAGGAATCATGATTTCAAATTCTCTGTAATATAAAATATACCGTTCTTATACGACAACTGGAGAAGGAAGCGGTGCGTGGGAATGGCAGCGGGAAAAAATGCAGAGAAGATTAACGACCGACTACTGTGGAGAACCGGAGAAGAAATCTGAGTTGTTTTTAATTACTAAAACAGTGTCGTATTGGGACCGGTATACCATGCTCATGGTATACCGGTCGTACGGTATAATTTGCCCACACAGTAGGGTTTGAAGTCCGCGCATGTTTTTTGTGTTTCTCCTTCGGCAGAGCAAGCAGCAAGACAGACGCCGCAATAGTCATCCTCCCTCCTGTAGGGTTTGATTCTGTACGCCTCTTCTGCAGGGGCGGACCTAGGAATTTTGTCTTGGGAGGGCAGTAACTTAAACAAAATATTTTTTGAGAAAACGAAAATTATTTTTTATTATATATATACACTAAAATTTTTTGTTGTTGGGGGGCGACCGCCCCCTGGGTCTGTACTACGATCCGCCCCTGCTCTTCTGCCGCTATTCGTTGGTGAAGAAAAGAAGCACGGTTGGTCAGAATATTCTCATAGACGGGTACGATTAGGGTGAAGCCAATAACAAAGCTATTCTTGCTCGAGCGTGAATCAAAGTGAGCGCTAGGGATGGAAGACATTTCCAATAAGTATAATAATATGGCTATTGGAGGAGATGAGGAAGAACTTGTCTTCAGGACCATGACATTTTATGGGCCCGGGGCAGTGCAAGTAGACTAGGTCACAGGAATAGCGCCAGAATGTTTATAATGTTCTTTTTGCTATAAAAATCTATAATTTAAAATTATACAATTTTATTGTCCAAATACTAACAAAGCATCATAAAAAAAACTAACAAAGCAGATGCTTAGACAAATTACATAGAGGGTATTTGATAAGTCACATTCCAGGTTTCAATGTACCTAAAGCAGACAAATGAAAGAAGTAGTGCAACTATTACGTGCAATTGAAAAAATTGAATTAAGAAAAGTTGTGAAAGTTATATCTCATATAAGGAGTAACTTTTTGGGTTTTTCAAAAAAAAAACTACTAAAATAAAACTCACTTACACAAATATGACAAATTGTTACTACAATGTATTCTCATAGTAACTCGGGTTTAAAAATTGAACATAAGTTACTATGATTTCATTACTACTTTAGTCACTAGTTACATTTTTGTAAATAATCTTAATTTTAGTCACATATATATAACTATTTCTAACTTTTTAAAATTTTAAGTAACATTTTCACTAGACAAAAACAAATTATAAGTTTCTAAATTATGGACACTGTAGTTCAATCTTTCATCAAATGAGAGAATTGGAGAAAATTTGTGAAATATATCAATGAATTCGGGATGTACATAAGAGAAGTACACCAAATTAAAAGATCAAAATTAATGTAATAACCCGTAATGATTCAAAAAAATGGTGAAATATGTTCCCAAAGAATTCTAACGTGGATGTTTCAAAATTATAGACTTGTACTGTGTAGATACTGAATAACGAATTGGGAATATCTAAAAAAATATCAGTTGATTTTATTTTTTAATTTTTATAGACTTAGGAAGTATATATAATTAAAATGTCGTTGTACACACACATATGTATATATATTTGAGAAATTTATGGGCCCTAATGGAGCAAAAGGCCCTAGGCGCATGCCCCTCCTACCCATGCCCCAGGACCGGCCCTCGGCCATGCTTGTCTTCGATGAGGAGCCTGGTGACGACGGAGAGACCTCAGTTCATAGAGCTATCTTCCAGAATCCAGAGTTCCAGTTGTGGGCACTCTTCTCACGTGAGATTTTCTGTATTTAGGGATTCCTTATTATTAAAAAATTAAGGACATTCCTTATATGGAGTAATTCGCAATGAAAAAATAGTCACTTTTTGTAGTTAGTATATCATGGTAATATTATGGGCTAAAGGGTCAAATAGGTACATGAACTGACTTAAAGTGTTCAATTAGCCCCTTATATATGAGTTTCTGCCCGGACGTCGCCAATTGGGGCGGTTCCCGGTGGAATTCTTTGATGATTTTTTTTTTTAAATCTTCTTCATTAAGTCTAGTTTACCCATGCCAAATTTCAGCTAAAAATTCAACCGGGAAGGCAGTCTAATGATTTTCCGAAATGTATTGCGCTGTTTAATTTTTTGGAAAATCATTCGACTGCCTTCCCGGTTGAATTTTTAGCTGAAATTTGGTATGGGTAAACTAGACTTAATGTAGAAGATGCTCAAAAAAATTCATCAAAAAATTCCACCAGGAACCGCCCCAATTGGCGACGTCCAGGCAGAAACTCCTATATAAGGGGTTAATTGAACACTTTGGGTTAGTTCATGTACCTATTTGACCCTTTAGCCTAATATTATGTGTCTTTATTCCCGTAAAAATTCATATAATACTAATTTATTATTATTTGATTATATTTAAGTTTTGCTAGTAACACAGAAATTATATATGATTTACGTAGTTTCATTACAATCATCACTATAGGCGGGTATCCTTTTTCATTTAACATCATCACAGCCTCAGAGTCAGGCTGATCTTCTCACTTTTCCCACACAGTGACACAGTTGTGTTTAGGCCTACAATGTGGTAAATACATCAATGGGCAGTCAGGATTATCTATCTCCAGCCTGCAAATTGAAACAAAACAACAAATATGCTCAGTAAAATGACAAGAGAAACCACCATGTAGAGAAGAACACCAAATGCCACTCACTCATAACCGAGCAGGAAATAGTGCAGAAAAAATGATATTTCGAGCTTGGCAAGATCGTTTCCGGGGCACAATCTGCTGCCCAATCCAAATGGTAAAAATGCTCCTGATCTTGGTATTAGATTCTGCACCAATTTCAACATCAAGCCTTACACTTAAATTCAGCGTCAAAGCCAAATCAAACTGAAACAAACAATTAACATAAAACTTGAAAATCATATGCATAAACATGGTTGACTTATTTGGAAGTTTAGCTTTTAAAACATGGTATTTATTCATTGTTTCCCAAAGAAAGAAACCAGGAAAATGACCCTAGTGTGAATTTATTAGACTCGATGGCTAAACATATAATTTTTGTGACTGCTATAAATTAATCTTTGTATTGTGAAGAGAAGTGAAAGTTGAACCTTGAACTCACAGAGAGACAGTCCGCTTATAAAGTAATTCATCATCACTGTCATCATCTTCTTCTGATAAAATCTCAGTTCCTGGCAATTCTAACTTCCCGCCCATCACAAAAGATGGACCACTACTTTCAGCTTCTATAAAATCACCATATAATCTCTCTTCAAATCTTTGGTCACTGCAGTTGAGAAACCAAGCCAGTGAGCATTTGACTCCCTTGCTTTGTAGCCTCTGGTGTCTTGGTTTTATTCTCGACTCCAGACTATATGTAAAGTAGTCTGGAAACTCAACAAGTTCTTTCATAGGCCTGCCCATTTCACTTTTGAAAAAGTAGAAACTGTTTTTCATGAGCCCAACTTGCAGAGCAACCAACTGAGGGCATTTCACAATCATCTTTGCAACATCATTAGATGAAAACCCCCGCCCCAGAAGGAACTCAACAGGTTTCATTATCTGATGTTGGTTAAGACTGACAATTTGTGGCATCCTCTCAATCACACAAGCAAACCCATCAGGATCAATCTTTAGCTTTAGGTTGAAGAAGTACTGTTGAGAAGACAGCTTTGCCCTCAAAGGCAAACCAAGGATCTGGGGGTATTGTGCTATGACAGAAGGGAGAAAGTCCTTCTTAATGCCAAAACTGGTCAAACAGTCCACATTAGGTTTCACAGTTTTTTCAAGATCATATCCAAGTAAATATGCCCGTTTTTCAAGCATCTTGGCTAAAATTTTCTTTGGGAGGCCGATCAAAACCAAATAATCGACAAGAGGCTTAATCATTGTCCCAACTCTCATCCCCAAAAGGTAAGGATATTGTGTAACCATTGGTCCTATATCTCTTGGATTAACCCCTATACTAACCAAGTATACCACAGACGTACTCATTGTCCCCTCAAGCTTAAACCCTAATAGCTCCGGGTATTTCATCAAGACATACCCAATATCTTGCTTCTCCACATCAAGTCCTCTCAGAAACTTGATGACTGGAACAAGCTCAACCACAACACTAGCATTTAGACACTGAGGATAATTTTTCACAAACTCCCCAAGCTTTGGCTTTGAAATCCCAATCTTTTCCAAATAGGTTAACACGGGAATCACGTTTTTCCTCACACTACACCCCAGCATTAGTGGATACTCGTTTATGTCGTCAATCGTTAGGCCTATTTTCTGCAAGAACTCTACACGCTCCCGCATTACTTCCACAGTGGAGGGTAACTCCAGATCCTCTAACTCATCTGGAACTATACCTATACTTTTTAGATAGTCACAAACTATAACCCGTGACACGAGCTTCTCTTTACGACCTTGGATTGCGCCCCATGTGACAGAAGGCATTTCATATTCAGGGAATTTGGATGCTTGGGTTGAAAAGGGTGTGACACAGGGGAGGAGATATTTTTGTTGTTGCGTATTTTGAGATGTTTTAAGGAAGACATTTAGAAATTGGGTTCTACTGTGCTTTAATATCGCTTTCATGTGCTGCTTTCCTCTGAAACTCCAAGCCATTGCAGCAAACAGATAAAATACAACCTCAAGATTCCAAGGATTGAAGATGAAAATGAGTAGTAATACGGAACTAGGCTGTCCGCAAATGATCAAATGGCAGTAAATACATATAGATTTATTTGCAAGGCTGAAACTTGCCTCTCCCCGCCGATTCCCATCGTTATCTTCTACGGAGTATTGTGGAGAACTTTTGGCATGGAAAATTCACCCAAGTGATCCCAAACAGTTAAGGTTGTGAGTTCCCACAAGGTAGATGACGACCTGTCAAATTGTGCCAGCCTGTTATGGACATGGGTGCACAATATTTTAATAAATTCCTATTAAAAAAGAAAATAATATTGAGCAACCACAGTACTGCTATAAATACAAGCAATATATTGAAAAAATTGATCGATCTACCTCTTTCCTTTCTCTTCAATTCGCTCTCGCTTCTAAGTTCTACATCTGAAAATAGCAAGAATAACATGACAACGAGTATGTCTGTGTAATAAAACACACAAAGTCTAAGTAGCATATACTTAGGGGAAAATGGGAAATAATAATCCAACCTTTTAGTGGTCTTCTTATAATAATCCAACCTTTTGATTATTCATGAATAATCCAACCTTTACACCTCATCTTCATTCACTAGTCCCTGACCGGTTGATGATCTGCTATTCCAAGCTATTTTCTTATCTTTGCAAATCATTATACCATAAATTTCATCTTTCACAAAGATAATATTTTGCAGAGATAAGAAAATAATTTGGAATAGTAGGTCATTAACCGACTAGGGACCAATGAATGAAGATGAGGTGCAAAGGTTGGATTATTCATAAATAATCAAAAGGTGGGATTATTGAAAGAAGACCGCTAAAAGGTTGGATTATTAGTTTCCATTTTCCCTATACTTATATACAAAGGCAAATATTGTCAATGGATTTAACAATGTGTGTGTATTGTTGATGAATTACAGATTATTTCTATCTCAATACAATTAATTTTAACATTGTGTATTATTTATGATTAATTATTTTTTGGCTTTTGCTGTATATTATGAGAAAGCTAATGTCTTGATACAGACCTTGAATAAAGTTTCATAAGGAAAAAATACACACAGAATCCCAGAAGTTTGTGTGTCTATGAATGCATATATGAAGCAGCCATGGTGTGTGTAATTTGTCAGATATTGTGTACACATATGTTATCATCTTGAAAGATCTAAAATGATTTACTTGGGTATGCAATACTTTGAAATACATGTGTATAAATCCTGGAAGAGGAATTGCGAGCTATTTAACTTCGGGAGAAGCAGTTATATATCTATATGCGGTTTTGAACAATTGTTGTGTTTTCAAATGAAAGTATAGGTTGTAAATAAAGGAATTATATATCTCAATATGGTTGTCTTGGGGAATGGGGATCTTGATCCAGATCAGATCCAGTGTATCAAATTTAGTTAAAAGTGTGCCAACTTAGATCAAAATGTTTATTATCAACCATTTACAACCCCAAATCAAAGAAGTTGAAAAGGAAGATATCCAACCATTTAAAACCCAGGTCAAAGGAGAAGCTATTGAAACGGCAGTTGCCAACCATTAATTAGGTATTCTTACAGTCAGAAAAAAAACTTAAGAAAATGCTTATCATTTTAAAAAATAGTTGTCCATATGAATTTTAATTGATTAATGGGGAATATGAGAATATCAAAGATGAATCTCCAAGAAGGATGATCAGCATCGCCTCAAGGTTTGAATTTTATTACTTTTTGTTATAGTTCATGTTTTTTAATAGCGTATACTTTAAATATGTTATGAATTTTGTTTTAGGAAGTAGCTTCAAAGTCTATATCCCAAAGTTAGAGGACTTCAAAATCATGTTATAAATACTATGATTCATTTTTTTAAGATGCATCTTTATTGACTGATTACAAATTAAAGTTTGTGTTGATTTCATATTTGATTGATTTCAAAATTGAAAAATAATCCTTTGATTTCAGTATTTAAAATAAAAACAGTAAAAATGTTAGATTATAGTATTGATACTAAAAAATTATTAAATGTATATATGCATACATATATACATAAGATCAGTAGAGTATATTCAAATCAATATGTGTTTGTGATTATTTTTTGGTATTTTTTATTATTTCAATTTTTCCCCAACACTTGTCCAAAATCTGTATAATTCATATGTAACGAGCTCTACCATCATAAGTTTTAAATTAATGGCCTGAAAACTATATAAACACAATATTACTGTTGAATTCGACTTAACAACCCAAACTTTCAACAATAAGCTTTAAAAAATTATTCATTCCACATTAAAAGCCTAAAAAATCCCAGAAAGTTCTTTCCTTATCAAAAAAATGGATGAACTTTGTTTATATATCAGATCTATATATTTATAGTAAGAAGTACTAAAAGTTTGTTTGGATGTAATGTACACATGAGGAACACATTATCTATTTCAATCAAAAGACCCTAAAACCTAATTAAATTTAATCACTGCAGGGCTAAGAACTTGGCTAAACTCCACTGTAAAATGTATTGTCATAACCGGAAGATTTTAGGATGCAGGGAACACATAAATTATCACCCACCAAAAGTTATCGACCATAAACGAATGTGGAGTTGAATACTAGTAATAAATATAATAGTTTCATGGAATGTAAACCTACCGGTCCTGATTTGGGAGTCATTTGTATGAGACAAACATATTGGAACAATTGGAAAAGAAATGACTGGAAAAAGAATGAAATAGAGGTCTACCGTAATCATAATTTGGAAAAAATAGAAAATTATTTAATAAAAATTGTGTAACATTTTTTTAGTTACACTTAAATGTAATATGGCGTGATCCGATTTAAGACTGAAATTAGTATTATGAAAACACGATGAATGAGTAAGTACTGAAGTTTGGGAAATGATGCATAGCCATGTGTGTTTATTTTAAGGAGCCACAAATAGTTCATATATTCCAACCGCGTTTGGTAACCTTATTTTGAGCTTATCAGCATTGTCATTTGATTTTATTTTTAATACGATGGTGTCATGATTATTGTGTAATAAGTGCCGCCTTTTTTAAAATAAAAATGTGTAATAAGCAAAAGAAGTAAAGTTGATGTTATTTTTAGCTAATTCATTTGAGTCGATTGTGTCTGAATTGACTGAAATTACTCAAAATGATATTTGAGCTATTTCAATATACAGAGTAACTTTTTTTAATTTCATTAATACAATGTATTTTTAATATAATAGTTTCATAATTTTTCATATTCAATCACTTCAACCAGAATTTTATCAATTTAATAAATCAATCGATTCAGCCAATTCCATCGCACGAAATGGGCTCGTCGTTTATACTATTCTTTTGTAATTCATACTCCCTCTTTTCCATTAAAATTGTCTCATTTATCCTTCTCGGGAAATCCCATTAAGATTATCTCATATCAAATTTGATAAAGTTTGTAACGGTCTAAAACATTTTTATTTTATTCTTATTTTATTAATTCAATATCAACCAAAACTTGTCAATATTAGTGCGACGGGTGTGTTAATATTTTCAATAATTTAAGTAGTTGTACATAAAACATTTGACTTTAAAATTATACATAACTTTAATTTAATCTAAATTCATCTTGTACGGAGTCTATTTACATGGGGTACATTGTTTAAAACAACACACGTGGAAGAAGCAATTATAGTAGGATAAGATCACACTAATAATCTTACGTATCTATCCTAATCTTTAATCAGTTTAATGTATGTAAGCTTACATACCCATGGGAGGAGTATTGGAAGCTAAGTTCAAAGGATTTTACAACGTAAGTCTCTGTCTTCATGAAGATCGACCTTCCAGAAATAAGCCGGCTCTTTTATGATATACGTCACATGTTAATTTTACTACAAAGGGGCTGCCACTTATATGAAAACTTTAAGGCATTTTTAAGGGTTTCCTTCATATGCCATATAATGTTATGTTTCTATGCTAAAACTTTAATGTCCCAGTGGGAGGAGTTTCAGAAGATCAACAGATTTTGGCTTGTGTATAAATAATACCTATAAATGTTTGTTAAGGTTTCGTTAATTTTTGCCATTAACTTGATGCCACATTGCCACATGTCAACTTTTTGCTTCAAATGAAATGCCACATGTCAAAACTTCTTTCATTGTTCTTCCATGGGATTCCTTTATTATATTATATAGATTAGAATTATTTCGGGAAAAAACTCAATTAAAACATCATAGTTTTGTGGATTATTTTTAAATGGAAAGCAATCTTGTAGTCTGTCTGACATGTTTAAGTTTGGTTTGGTCTGATCTAATCTGGTCAGATAGGTGAGTATTTTACTGTTTTATCACTATCAATGTCTGGTCTTGTCTAATTCATTTAATTTTGTTCTGATCTATCTAAGTTTCTAATTTGATCTTGATACTGTCAGATCTTACTTAAGCGTGTTTTCTTTTGGACTTTTTTCAGTCTCAGACCATACTAGATCAGACTAGACCAGACTTGAAAAGTTATAAAACACACAAAAGATCAAACTTTTACTAGATTAGACCAGTGCAAACCAGACTAGACCATGTCACATGAGGGTTTAATGCACCAAACCCCCATGTGATATGAAAATTCGACGTTTTAGCCCCCTGTGATTTAAAAAATGCGTCAAACCCCCTTGTGTTTTAATTAATTATGCGCAAAATCTTTTATATTAACAAATTCAATTGTCAAATAAAAGAAAAATGATTAACATGTTTGTATGATTTAGAGATTTTGACATATTTACTTGCATATTCAATCAAAATATTATGAAAAATGATTTCAAAATCATTAAATTTATTCATAATAGGGATTTGTGCATAATTAATTAAAACACAAGAGGATTTGATGCATTAATTAAAACATAATTTATTCAATTTGATGCTTTCTATATCCTCGGGTTCGTGCATTAAACCAAACCATATTGAAATCAATTGAAATAAGAAACATCCTCAATCATAACGAAACTCTTGAACCAAACCACAATCTTTCCTTGTAGATCACATTGTTTCACTGCCTCAACTAAACAAGCGGCAACAGCAGCTATGGCTTCCCTGCGGTTCCCACTCTTGTTTTCTCAGCCACCGAGTCAACCCTCCCGCTCCTTCTACCAAACCGCCGCCGCATATTCCGCTGCCGCTGCTCTCGGCGGTACGGTTGCAATCTTGCAGATCACTCACAACAACCCACTGAATTTCTCACGCAACAAAATGCCCTCCTGCCGGGTCTGGGGCTCCCTTTCCCTCTCTGGTAGCTCGGACCCTGTCACGGAATCGAGGACCGGTATGTCATTCCCTTCCGTTCTGAAAGACTCTCAGCGACTTCTCGGAATTGGGTTGAGGAAGAAGGCCTTTCTGGGGTTGAAGAACATCGATGTATATGCTTTTGGTACGGCATTGTTATGATTCCTATATTTCTTCTACTTCTTCGTCTTTCGTATAGCTCTGTTTTTCTGTAGGCATCTCTCGCTAGAGGAATAGAAACTTAATAGTGCTCAACTTTTAGCACCATCATTTCAGCTCTTCCCAGCTGAATGGGATTGAAGTTCTCAAGTGATGTTAACTATATTATCATTAATATCTCCAGTATTCTAATGGAGACATAAGTACTTTGGAATTATATTTCCGTGTTTTTTAAGAAAATATTTAATGAGAGTAGTGATCCTCCTAATTTTGGATTTGTTTAGATACTTATGGGTATTTCTGGAAATGTTTTGGTATTTTTAATATTTTTGACACTATTCAGGATTCTGTTTGAGATCATTTTAGACAATTTTTCTTACCACTTCAAGTTATATGTTCATCTTTACATTTATCCGGTAAAATATTTAGCATGTTTTCAATTGGATAAATTTTCTGATCTGATATAGTAGGTCTGATCTTTTTAAGTCTATATAGTCAGGTCCGGTAAGTGTTTGATTTACGTGTATTTTATTATTGTGTAAATCTTATCTGATATGAGCTGAGATTGAAATCAGAAAAAACATCTTTATCCGGTATCATGTTTTTTTCAAGTGTGAAATTTAGTGGAGAGCAGAATTCAATTAAAAATGATTAGCTGATGAATCTCCTAATAAATTTGTTCCCAACTAATTAAATAATACGTAGTACTTGCTAGTACATGTAAACCAATAATAAAAAACATCATTCGTCCCATTAAAGTTAGAGACATTAGGGTGTGGCGTGGTTATTAAGAAAAGATGGTTCATGTGGTTAATATTAATTGATTAAATCGGAGTAAAGAACACAATAGTACCACACATATATTAACATGTCTGGTGTGAGAAAAATTTAATGAGACGGCCGAAAAACGGGAGATAGGACAAACATATTTGGACTGAGGGAGTACTTAAAAAATCGGTATCGATAATACCAGCCATTTGAATATAGAACAAATGTGATACATGAAGGCATACAATTTGTTTTTAAATGAAGTTCTTTTTAATGATTTTATATAAGTTTGTGGTTGGTTAAATGATCAAATCTGTAGTTGGAAAGTTGCTCGATATCCCATCTATGATCTACTCCCTCCGTCCCTGAATTTACTTCTGTAGTACAAATGGCACACGGATTAAGAAAGTGGGAATTGTGTGGTGGAAAGTTGTGCAGAGGAGAGAGAAATGTGTAAAAATTGTTGTGAACCACAAATTCTTTGCCAAAAAGGGAAAATGAAGTTATTTTTGGGACGAATGAAAAGGAAAAGGTGGAAGTATTTTTAGGGACGGAGGGATTATTATAGATTCAAATAGTCAGTATTATTGAAAGTGATTTGTGAAGTACATATTAGAGGCCTACGAGTATTGTTGTTATTTAAAATTATTTCCCATAAAATCATAAATTTCAGTCATAATTTGACCTAATTTGGAGTTGGGACTGTGGTATTACACATGTAGGGGTGTATGCCAATGATGATGATGTACAGAACATCCTCAAAGAGAAATATGATACACTTTCTGGTGAGGGACCAAGAGTTAGAAAATATTTTAAACCTTGTTGACTATGGGCAAGGATTATTCCCGGTGAGATATCTAGGAATACCACTTGTCCCTCTTAAGGTATCGGTTGCACAGTATGCACCTTTACTTGACATAATTAAGGATTTTCTAAATGCGTGGAATACAAAAACCCTATCCTATGCCGGAAAGATTGAGCTAATCCGATCGGTGATCCAAGGGGTCCAATCGTTTTGGCTCCAAATCTTCCCGGTTCCCCAAACCATATTGGATAGGATAGTGTCCATTTGTAGACTGTTTTTGTGGGGTGGAAAGTTCTCAAAGGTGGCTTGGGATGACATATGTCTTCCAAAAGAGGAAGGGGGTTTAGGCATTCACAATGCCCGTAATTGGAACGATAGCCTCCTTTCTCGCACTCTTTGGGACGTACACACGAAGAAAGATACCCTTTGGGTTCGTTGGGTTAATGGTGTCTACCTTAAGGGTAGAAGTGTGTGGGAATTTGTCCCACATGGCCGAGACTCACAACTCATGAAGAGGTTGAGTCAAATACGGGACAAAATACGAGGGTGCTTTAATAATTTAAACGAAACCATAATGGGACTCAATGCTAGGAGTACCAATGGGAAACTATTATCGGCCAAGATCTATGAGCTTCTACGAGTAAAGGGAACCATTAGGACTCCAATGAGCTTCATTTGGAAGTCCTACATCCCCCCAAAATTCTCGTTTAATGTTTGGTTGGGCTTGAGGAACCGGCTGCCCACACAGGATAGCCTCGGTTACCTCCACATGGTTAATAGGTGTGACCTATGTAAGGGTGGATTGGAAACAATTCCACACCTTTTCTTTCTTTGCCCATTTTCCTGTAGGGTATGGGATGAGATCAGGGATTGGATTGGAATTGGACGCCAAATGACAACAATGCTCAGCTCAATCAAGTGGATCATGAAGACACACAAAGGATCAACGATGAAGGCCAAAGCTGCTCGTCTAGCATTCTGTGCCACGGTCTACTACATTTGGCATGCGAGGAATGAGATACGATTTGACGAAGGAACGAAGACGGAAGAAGATGTGATTGCTAAGATCAAACATGTGGTGTATAAGATCTTATATAGCTTATACCCGCATGACATGATCAAATTTTGATGGGTGGATGTCGTCTCCTTTCTGAAGCCGCGGCATCATCTTTCTTGGACTAGGGTGTGTGCACATTGCAACACCATGATTCCTTTTTTGGGCTAAGGGGAGTGTGCATTATAACCTCCTCTTGGTCATGCATTTTCTTCTGATGGATGTATTTTGGTGAGCTGTGTGTGCACACTTTGCAGCACCGATTGGTTTTTGAGCCTTTTGGGGCATTTAAGTATTGTATACTTAGGCCCCTTTTGATTTCGATTTAGATCGAACAAAAATCTCTCCCAACCCTTACACTAGACAGGGGTGGGTTTTTTGGGAGATCAAGAACCTTTTTGATGTATTGTTTTCTTTGGGTGTTAATATAAATTTACATTTTATCCAAAAAAAAAAAAATGATACACTTTCTGGTTCTGAGTTTAAGGAAAAGGAGTTGAAGGATGAACTCATGGAGAAGGACATACGCACTACTGTTAGACTGCAGATAGTATATGGAAGACTAAACATCCGGTCTGTGCGCAGTGCATTTGAAGAGTCTGTTGGAAGCAGGCTACAAAAGTTTGGTGGCTCTGATAACAAAGAATTGCTTCAAAGGTATATACTTTTTGCAGTCCGGTGTTGCAATGCTTTGAGAGTTTGAGGAATGTCCTTTTCTGTGTGTAAATATTTGGACTTGTATGAATGAGGAGCCTTTTACACTTTATTGTGTACTCATCTTTGAATTTTTCCAACTGTGGTCACACAAAGCACTCTTGTTACCCATCATTGTATTTTTCCACTTATAATCATCTAATTAATGATTATGATAGTGACACTCTTAGTCGTTCACTTATTGAAGCAACTTGAAAGATGAGTTCCAAAAGTGTCACTAGAACAACAAGATGACTAAAAGATGGCTGACAAAGATAACGCGGAATAAAATATAGGAGAAATCTAGAAGAAAATACATGTTAAGGAAGAGTATATTTGTTCTAACTCTTCAAACACAATAAATTTATTTTTAGTATTTGTTTGAATTCTTTTTATTTATCCATATGTGTAGTACTAAGCAGCCTAGACATATTTAAAAATAATAAAAATATTAGTTATTTTTTTTTGTTTTACTTTGCATTTCATAGGTAAATCTAAGCATAAAGAAAAAACTTAGAACTTTCTTTCGTTTCGTTAGCATTTTACGAGATCCAAATATAACCTAATGGCCCAAGTACCAATCTTTTTTGCAGGTTCACTTCCCAGTTCAGAGATGAAATAAAGATACCTCGTGGAGCTGTCATAGAACTCTCAAGGGAGCCAGGCTATGTACTTCAGACCACAAGTAAGATTGTTATATACAGTTATATTGTTATTTTTTTTAACAACAATCAAGCTTTAGTCCCAAAAGATTTTGAGGTCGGCTAACACGAATCAATACATGATATCGGTGACAAAAAGAAAAGAAAGATAAAAATATAAATTGATAAGGTATGATAAAAAATAAATAAAAGGATACAATAAAGATAAATATAAAAGTATAAGATAGAGAAAAAATGATAAGATAAAAAGGATAAAAAAAAAGTATAGAATAAATATGATAAAAGGATAAAAACGTAAGAAAGATAAAGAAGATCATCATCATCATCATCACTCCAGTGCCGCAAAGACTCCCTCTATGGTGAGTAAATGGGGGGTCGGATGTACGCAGCCTTACCCCTGTCCTAAAGCATAGAGAGACTATTTCCGGATGACCCATGGTGAAAATCGCGTCGAAAATTGCATGAACTGACCGTTGCTTCACAACAAACAAGTGCAGACAGTTTGGTGAGTCATTTTGCTTTATTCCATCATATTCCCAAGCTAAAAAATAGTGAATCATTGGCTCCATTGCAAATGATGGAAAAAGAAAGATAAAGAAGATAGAAGGATTAAAAAGATGATAAGAGATCAATCCGCCACATGAATATCTGCCCTCCACTTTGCTCTCTCCAAAATCATACTCTCATCCAACTCAAGAAAAAACATATCACTCCTTACTCCTTGAAATCATGTCTATCTAGGTCTTCCTCTTCATCTCCTCTCTGCCTCTTCTCCATACCGCTCAACTCATTCAACATGTTCATCACTCGGTATTTTACGCACACAATCAAACCACCGCAATCGTGACTCCCGCATCTTATCATCAATGGGTGCTACTCCCACCATTTATCTAATTGTCTCATTCCTGAAGTAGTCTTTTCTAGTATGTCTAAACATCCAACGCAGCATGCGCATGTCTGCTACACTTATCTTTTGAGTGTGACATTGTTTGATTGTCCAGCACTCTACGCTATATAGTCATGAAGGCCTAATTGTTGTCCAATTAAAATTTACCTCCACCAAACTTGCATTCAACATACTCAGTCTTGTTTCGACTCAGCCTGATCAATCTGAAACTCGTGCTCTTCAATGTTTGTTGTTATACTTCCAACTTTGCTTTAACACTTGATTGTGTCTCATAAATCAATATAATATCGTCGACAAACATTATGCACCACGGTATATCTTCTTTAATCGACTTCGTAAGTTCATCAATGACTATAACTAATAAGAATTTAGAGTTGGTCCTTGATGCATTTCGATAGTAATAGGGACTAGGGAGCTCTGCAGTCCCTCCCTACACTAGTATGGGCACTTGTAGTACAACCTCATGATATCCATGATGCTGATATGCTTACTTGTTAGCCTTTTCTAGTTAAGGTCTACCAAAGAACTCTTCGAGATATCCTATCATATGTCTTTTCTAAATCAATAAACACCAAATGTAGATCCTAGTTAGTGTCTCTATACTCTCCATAAGTTGTTTAAGAATTAATTCATACCATTATTAAGGATGTTGAGAATAAAATGAGCGCAATGAAAAACTTTGCTAGAAGCGTAATTAATAGATGCCTTAGCAAGAAAGTAGTAGTAAGATCATATACTTCTCGAAGTATAGTAATAACAATAAAATTTGAATAGTTTTATTAATACTATGGTCTACTTGTTTTAAACATAATCCTAACCCTCTTAGATTTATGTTTTAAATTTCCTATTTCTACTTGTTTATGTCTATTACTTCTCTGTATAAGCATCTTAATAGTCTCTAGAAAATATGAAGTTTTACATTAAGAGTTTTATCAATAGAAGTAGTTGGTAGTTTATTATTCAACAATAATGATGTGCTCATAATGCAATTCCTTACTGTGTTATTTTTTTATGCAGTACCTTGAAAAAATAGAATCTCTGTAATAATCTCAAAGGTGTCAGTTGGCTTGTTTCCGTATAAAAAATACACTCTTCACTGTATTGTCAATTAACGTATAATGTTATTTTGATCTTCAGTTGACGGCAAGGAAGTGGGAAGCATACAGAGTAAAGCACTGTGTCAATCAATTTTGGACCTATACATCGGCGATGAAGCATTCGATAAAAAGGCCAGAGAAGATGTTGAACTGAACCTGGTTTCACTTCTTCAAAAGTAGTCCTGTATCATCCAGGCATGCGAGATTTAGTGAGGGGGAATTTGTTGAAGTAATCCATGCATCTTTTTTTGTTTCTTTTTCTGTTTTGTGTTCTTTTCTGCCAGACATTTGTTGTATCTACTAAATTTAAGCTAAATGAAAAAAGGGTAAATGAATAGATGTAGACTTCTAGCAGAGCTATTAGTTGGTGCAATTACATATACTGATATACTTGGCTTTTTTGCCCCTTCAGGACGTTCAGGTAAAATAGTTATGCAATAAATTTCAAGCGTTATAACCTTTTTAAATTAAATTAATTTTGTTTTGGTGTCACTTAGACGCCAAATTTTTAGATGAGGACATTTAATTAGGACTAAGACAAGACATATTTAAGAAATAATGACAAATATATGATTGAAATAAAGATAGTGCATAAAAATATGACGCATTGATTATCATATTAGCTCTAGTGACCATGATTGTGTTAACTCTACCACTATAGTAATTATGCATAGTAATTATAGTACTCCCACAATTTATTGTCCAAATAAGACTGGCTATTTATTTTCTAAAATAGTACTACGTACTAAATTAAACACTTCTAAAAAATTAACTTCATATTTTGATATACAACACAATTAAAATGTTTTGCAATTAAAATAAGAGCTAGACTAGTACTCTTGAAAAAGTAACACAACCAAGGTTGACAATTAAAATGTGTTTGAAAAAATAACTTGACTGATTTGTTGAATTTAGAGATAGTTTAGTTTGAACATACTCTTATTTTCTTCTACACTTTCTCGCTTTTCAACGCTCCTCTTATTTATATCCGTACAGAAGTTTTTTTATAAACATGTTTGGTAAAACCAGAATTTAAAACGCAGTGAGCTAAAAGACGTAGAAATGGTAGAATACGGAAAACAATTATTGTTGGAATTGAATAAAAAACAGAAAGAATGATGATTGAACAAAGGTCACATGAAAAGTACTTTAAATGGTATTTTTATTTTGTTTTTTCATTAAACACATGAATGAAAATCTTTTGATTGATAGTAATTGATAAATGAAGGTAAATATAATTTACCATCTGCATGAATCGCATGCCAAACATACATCAAACCTCGATATTCAACTAAAATTAGTAAAATCTGCCTGAAGTGCTCAGCACTGATCAGCCTCCCATTCCCATTAAATACACAGCAATTGCAAGAATGATTATCAATTTGAAACATACTTAATGTGCCGTTAGATGATCTCAGGAAATGCAGATTGCAGTAAAACCCTATTTACATGTTTCCCAAAACTAACTGTTAAACCGTCAGCAACTCCTGTCAAGACAAAAAAAATGCATGTCACAACTGGGCAATCTAACCACTAAAGGAAATGTAATCATATAACGGAAACCAAGTAAAACCCATCCTCCCCAGCTATTAGTAACACCGCCATTCAATAGACTTCAATGCTGAGATAAATATTTAGCTTGTTCAAATTGGGTTATATAGGCCCAAAAGAAGAAAAATGTGAGAGGAATCCATTATCTAGGATCACTTTTCTAAATACTTTGTATTTCTTATTGGTCCTCAATAAACAACTAGGATTTACAACATGAACGGTTGAGATTTAGTCACAATGAAGGTGACTTATAGGCTATGTAGTACGGAAACTCTCGGGAAAGAGTACGTTTCCCGTTTCGGAAACTCTGGGAAACTGTCGGAAACTCTTTTGAAACTCCCCAAATAAGCCCTTTTTGAGCAAATGTTGACGTTTCCCGTTTCCCGTTTCCTCATGATTTTCGCGTTTCCGTGCAACATAGCTTATAGGCTTAGGCTGCTTTCTAAGTTTGTGTACCATGGATGGATAAATCTTCAAGGAGTGTAAGGAGAAGTAGGCCTAATTTAGGATTGAGGCTTCAGTTCGAAAAATACTTTCGAGAAGTACTTTGACTCTTTGAGGCTTGCGTTAGAAAGTGCTTTTTAAAGTTATATATGTTTGGCATTGCAGTTGATACGGTAAATCTAAAAATAAATTATTTTAGTCTCAAACTTCATACTCAAAACGCAAAAGCTATCCTGGATTAGCTTTTACATTGTGGTGGCATTTGGCGTTTCAAATAAGCTTTTAGGAAAGAAGTATATTGTTTGGACTTGCATTCGAACAAATATAAGATTTTCTAGCAAATACACTTTCCCAAATGGGGCCTTAGTATTTGCTCTTATCAAGGGATTATCAATACCAGGCAACAACTATATGGACAAATCCCTTAGCAAAACATTACACACATAAAATGCATGAACACGTTAACTGCCTTATGAAAAGAAAAAAGGAGATTCAAATTCGTACTGGCACCAGAACCACAACATGTCTCCGTTCCTCAACTATCTTCCAAATTTCTTTTTTCATCCGTCCCAAAATAATCTTTCATTTCTCTTTTTGGCAAGAAATTTGTGGTTCACAACATTTATTACACATTCTTACACTTTTCTCTCTCCTCTGCACAACTCTCCACCACACAATACTCACTATCTTAGTCCCCATGCCAAATGTACTTTGGAAGATAATTTAGGGACGTAGGTAGTGCAAAAGTTGGTGACATGTCAGCGAGCGTCAGAGCTTTAATTTTCCTACACTTCAAGTATGGGGGAAGTATGACCTAACATCGGCAACATATCACTGGATGACAAAATGTTCCTGGACAACCGTGATACAACCCTAAACTTAAGTAATGCATCGTCATCCATTTGAAATATGTTGCCTATGTGTAGAGCTTTTCTATTGTACGGAGTAGTTGTTATTGTTTTCAACCATCATTTATTTTTTAGCTTAGTATATAATTCTTAATTACTCCAGAACTCATCATGTGTATACAATACCTCACTTCTTCAGTTCTTCCCCCCACAAATTATAACATTAATGATCATTATTTCAATGAAAGTTAAAACTTAAAACCATATCTAAGCAAATATTACCTTCTCCTTCTGCTTGTAGATAGCATCAATTTTCTTCATGTACTCATCAGTAACTTTCTGCAAATCACTTGACAGATCCTTCACAATGTCTTCAGAGAGTTTTTTCTCCTAAGAAGATATGTAAAGAAAGTCAAACGTAGAAGTAAAGTCTGCAATGATACATAGCAGGTAGAATCCAAGGAATAAAATACCTTCTCAAGTTTTTCGTAGGATTTCAAGGCATCTCTTCTTATATTCCTTAAAGCGACCTTATACAATATAAAAAATAAACAAAGACATAAATTTCAATGAACGACTGAGAGCAAATTACAAGTCCAGGGCAAGGGTATACCGTACCTTTATCTAATCTAATCTAAAATCTGAACGGTAGAAACTCTTAATTAAGTGAACATGCCATGCATGTGCAAAAAGAGGCAATGATGGGAGTTAAGGATGTTTTTACTTGGACTGTAATTTGCTGGTCTGGTCTGGTCTGGTCTGATCTGGTCTGGTCTGATCTGGTCTGGTCTGGTAAGGTCTGGTTTCTTTGTATTTTTATAACTATCCAAGTCTGGTCTGGTCTGGTCTGGTCTGAACTGGTCTGGACTGGACTGGTCTGGTCTGGTCTGGGGCAAATTACAGTCCAAGTAAAAACATCCTAAGTATAATATTGAATATGCAATGATGGGATCAAGATTAGATAATCTGAGGACCCTATATGAAGTACACACTGATCACTTTGTCTACCCAGATGCAGAAAAGAAATCATAGGAGTTGATGACAACGCTAAAGAGGATGATGACGAAAATGAAGACTTTTGTTCGAAAATCAAGAAACTAAAAAGAATATTGTGCATAAATTACCAAAAGATTTTCCCATAAAATGCAGGATAAAGAAATGGGAAGAATCCCAGCCAATCATGGTCACAAGGCAGGCTCCAAAGACCAAAAGTAGCTAACCAAGGCTGTGGATGAAATATATTTGGATCTGTTTTAAAATTGTGAGAATTTCCTGCCTAAATGGAAGTTGATCTGGTTTAATACGTTTAATCTGCTTGGCATATAACCATTTTGCATATTTGGAAATACCTTGTGGCTATCTCACTTATCTGCTCTCTTTTTTACTGTGTTCAGTTTTCTTTTTTTGAATGTTGGACATATGCCATTTTGTATCTTTGGAGGGTATGCCCTCCGGAGAGGGTTTTATTCAGATTCCCCTCCATGTTGTTAATAAAATCTTTTGTTAACAAATTCCTTTTTCCTTTAAAAAAAAGGAGGTGGTTGGACTAAGGTGTTAGTACCTTCCCTTCCTCAGCTTGCCTGGCCACAACTTTTGACAATTCCTACACAACGAAAATAATGTCACAAAAATATGTTGCAAAAGCATGTTACGAAGTACCCACAATTAAAGGTAAATCTCTTCTCCAAATAGAAATTCGAGACTAACTAATATTAAAAACTCCAATTTGGGTCAAGCCGGAAAAGCTAAACAGAAGCTGGAACGAACTCAACCAAGTAACCAGGTATATAAACCAGAGTAGCAGAGACCACTTATGAATTACAACAGCTCGAAATATGAAGCATTAACCTCTCATGTAAATACTCCCTCTGTCCCAAATTGATTTTCAAAATAACGGTTTATGATATGGGCAGAGGAAAAAATTAATTCGTCCCTGACAATTTTTTAGTTAAAATTGTTCCATCATTTGCAATGGAGCCAAAACTCACTATTTTTTGGTTTGAGAATATGATGGAATAAAGCAAAATAGCTCACTAAACTGTATGCGCTTCTTTGTTATGAAGTAGCAGTCAGTCTATGTAATTTTAACGCGATTTTCACTATGGGTCATTCGGAAACAGCCTCTCTGGTAGTTTAGTACAGGGATAAGGTTGCGTACATCTGACCCCCCTCACCCCACCGTAGGTGGGAGCCTTTGCGGCACTGGGGTAATGATGATGATGATGATAGTAATTAAATATATGTAGTATATATTTAGAAACTAGACTAAAAGTTGTATTGAAACACAAAGCTAATTTTGAAAACAATTATAAACCATAATAAGAGAATAAAATCACTTATCACTAAGAATCCGAGAAAAGTAAAACTGAAAACCACTTTGGGAAGGAGAATCCGAGAAATTATCAAGGAAAAAGCCAAGAATAAAATCAGCATCATGAAAACTTGCAATTACTAAGAAATAGATTGAGATTTGAGACATACCTTCCTTCTTTCAGATGTCAATTGAGGCAAAGCTAATCTTATCACTTCTCCATCAGAATTAGGAGTCATACCAAGTTCAGAATTTAAGATGGCCTTCTCTATAGCTTTTAGGCTGATAACCAAACTCAGAAATGCATAAATAATAAGCACCAACATATGCATGGTAGATATGGATAATTACGTAATCAAATAGAACACATCAGCAAATTGCACCTAATGGTAGCTATAAGTCTATAAGGGGCTGTTTACTTATGAATTAATGGACTTAATGAGAAAGACGACTTAATCGTTCAATCATTAAGTCATGTTTACTTACGACATAATTGAAAACACGCCTTATTCATTCAGTCAAAAGATTGACTTAATCTTTAAGTTGTGAAAGGCACTCCTTCCCATTAAGACGTTCATTAAGACGTCTATTCAGTCAGTTTTTTTATACCTAATATGGAATAGATATATGATAAGAAATCACATTACTCGTCGTCAATATAACATAGTTATCATATTAAATTGATTAGTTTACTCTATTATATGATGGTTTATTCAGCACACAAAATAAACAACTTCATATACAAACATCACTTAATCCAGACACACGCCTTAATCTAGACGGGACTTTATAGAAAAAAAAGTAAACAGCCCCTAAGTGTTCAAAAGTACATTCTGGCGCTAAACAGTGAGGCACACCTCATGGCATTTGGGAGAAAATAGCAATGACACTCAACCTATTTAATGCAATACTAAGCTTTGCCCAATACCCTACTGAGGCGTAAAAAAAGATACTTTAGGCACGACTGTCACGATGGCTACGTGAGGAAGCGGCACCAGCGATCCGCCTTGTTGCCTAGGTGACAAGTAGCCATGTGTGATATTTAAATATAATATATTACGGAGTATTATATTATACGTAGTAAAACATAAACTATAGTAACAAGAGCCATGTGATTGATATATAAAAAAACGAAAAATGAAGAAAATGGAAGAGTCTAATATCTATTTCCAATCAATTATGCTACAAAAAAATTTAGCAATGATGTGATTCATGTGATTGATATGTCAAGAAATGAAAATTGAAGAAAATGGAAGAAAGAGAGAAGAAAATAAATAAAATGCAAATTTGGCGAGTTGGATTGCCAGCTCAATACAGTTCTTGAGAAAGATCATTCATCCCTATAAATGACCAGTTGATGCCAATACAGTTCTTGAGAAAGATCATTCATCCCTATAAATGACCAGTCGATGCCAAGATCATTCATCCCTATAAATGACCAGTCGATCATTCAATGTTTAGCACTCTTCAGGCTAGACAACTAGCCATGGCAAGTGTTCTCTAAAGCCTTGACACCTAAACATTGCCTATTCGACGCCATGACGACTATGATGCCGGGTCTACTCTAGTTATGCAAGAAAGTAAAAAGGTGTGCTTCAAAAAAATTGATAAGAGTTTATTGATGCCGATGCTGGTTCATACCATCAAAGTGTGAACCCATCTACAGGGTACTTCTGTGAAAATAGTGTTTGGCGCAGTTCCCAAAGAGAAGTCAATGTCCCATGGATTTCGATGTAGATGTTCATGATTTCAAACTTCAAATTGACCAGTATTCTTGGGGGAGAGACTACTGGTCTCGATCCAAATCTCAAACCACTAGATACAGATAACCCTATTTTACATTCCTCATTTAAATGAACTTAAACTTTTATGCATAAGGCAATATTTTGATTATTTTCTATTATGTGATGTTTGAAATTACTATTTAGGTTGTCTGGTTGTGTTATGACTTTAAAAGTTTTTTGAATTTTAATGAATATTTTATACTCTGTAACATTTGTTAATGAACTAAACTTTAATATTAGTTCATAATTACTTAATGTATATTAGTATTAGACTATTATTATTACAAATTTGAATCATAGGCTTCAATGCATCGCGAGCTTTCCACCTCACCTCATCCGTGGAACTGCCTTGACTACACAATGTGCAAATTTTAAACCATTAGACCTATGTTTCCAAAAACATTGGCAGCTATAAGACTATAAAGACCATACAAGAAAGCACTATGAAGAAAGTATAAACCAAGAGAATTGTCAAATATAAGTGAATCCGAAATACACTCTGTTACGTTTTTCAACAAGTCTGGAGGAAAAGAATCAAATGGGACATGTTATCATGGCAGGAAAGAAGAAGAGACATCATTCATGGTCTCTAGAGTATAAAGTATGATTAAAGGATGGCACCTGGATTTGTCATAGGGCTGTACTAGAAGAGAACTTGCATCAGGAGTGCCAATTTGGGCTATGCTCTTCAAGCTGACTGGAGTACCATAGTACTCCACCTACCGAAGTGAGAAAAGAATTTATATAAAATATTTTCATATAAATACAATGAAGCACAACCCATTATGTGTGTGTACCTAAGTACTTTTCTCTGGGGTTTGAATATGATCAGAATCATCAAGACAAATTAATTGGTGGCCTTAAATAGTTAAATACTTGACACTTTATTTTCCACGAAGAGAGCTAGAAATTGCAATGGACTTTTTTACCTCAATCTTATCCAGCATTGCTGGGTTAGCTCTCCCTGTCCTTATAGAGTTGAAATTGGACCTAACATTCTCAATCGTCTTCTCCATTCTCTCTTTCTAAACAAGAAATGGAGCAGTTGTAACTTTCCAGTAAACTGAAATGAAACAGTATTTTATGGTGACATAATTTCTCTAAAATATATGTATGCTTACAACATCTTCTTCGATAAAAGATTTTTCTGCTTCTATTTCTTCTATGGTTGCAGACCTGAACACTGCGGTTCTGGAAACCCCAGGAAAAAAAGATAAAGAAGTCTTAGTTCGTAGATGATGAAAACAGCTCAAGACAAAAGCCTAAAAAAATTGCCTCTTCACCCATGATAGCTTGACATGAGGCTTCAAAGCCAGCGCCTTTGCAGAAGTCTCCAATTTCGCGCAATTCAAAGTCGCAGTAAGCGAACCAGCGTTTCCAGAAGCCGAATAACAATCTATAAATGTTCAAAATGAGCGAATTCCGTCGAAGAGTATAAAAGAATAAAAAAACTCGACAGAACAATGTGAGGACCCGGGAAGTAAGATTATGCCTCGACGAGAAAGTAGTTTTGGAGACTTCGTGTTGCTGGCAAGTTGTTGCGGGTATAGATTATGAACATGAGCCGCCGGCAAGAACGTCATCGCCATTGCACCAAACTTGTTCGAAACTAGGCTGAAGCCTTTCGCTAGTGCCACTCGTTATTTTGATATCTTCTTCTATTTCGCTGGGTTACCGATAAAAATTACCCATAGTACAAAAAAAAAGGAAAATGTTAGTGTAATTCACGGGTTATAGGATGATGCTTATTAGGACTTCTATAAATAAGCGGGACGTAAAATAAGCAATATATAAATTCATGTTTACTTCAAATAATTTAAACATCGTTTAACATTAAAATGTTCAAACTAACTTTATACATATATAGACACACAAATATTAATGTATGCATCCTACCCCATGCCCCTACACCTACACCTACACCTACCCTCTATATAATACATGGGGGCATACCCTCTATCCATGTTCGTCCTGTAACTCCACCTGTATGCATACCCTTACCCATGCCCCTTCCTCTACCTCCACCCTACCCCATGCCCTACACCTATAGGGGTCAAGGGTAGGGGAAGTAGGGGTATGGGGTTAGGGTGGTGTGGCTGTAGGGGTAACGAGATATGTGTAGGGGGTAGGGTTGGGGTACGGGGGTAGAAATGGGGTAAGGGGCAAGGAGTAGGTGCAGTGGAGTATGGGACGGGTAGGGGTACGAGATAGAGTGGGGGTAGGGGGGTAGCGGGTGAGGGGTTGGTTGGTTTGGGGTAGGTCGGGGTGGGGGTTGGAGTAGGGTGGGAGTAAGGGTAAGGGTACTTTTGAAGGATTGTCCCAAGCTCGTTCATGCCTCCACAACATGAGATCACACACCAAACTTTCTTTATTTACTTCCACGTCCACACTAAATGACGCTTATAGTCCTTCCCTTTGAGGTCATTCCCTAATGATGTGGCAACCAATCACGTCACTTCTTCTGCATCAAGTGTATGCTTAATATTCTCAACAACCGCCTCTTGCATGGTTCATTGTTATGCCTCAATATTGATATGTATTTTTACATCCTTCCTTCAAATCTTTAATATTCTCAAGTCTTCTGTTCATATAAGACACACCCGCCCAATATACTAGCACGTTCCAAGGCTGAGAAGGATGTCCCGGGCTCAACCAAAGTGAAAGTCAGTCGGTTTTCTTGAAAGCCGCCCAATTTTCATGCCTTTGGATGAATTCTGATAAATTTTACACCGTAAGCCGGTCAGTTTCCATGATTACGCCTTTCAAATGATACACGAGTACATAAAGTCAAATAGTCGGCTTGTGGGCCCATTTGTATTTATCACAAACCCTTTGTATCGCCCAACGGTAATTTATTACCCACATTTGTATTTAACAATGATATTCGTATCGCACGACGATAATTCATTACATTAATAATTCATACGGTACAACCCGAAGGTCACATAAGTTCTATAAGACATGTTACCGCTGTCAGAGCCCCCATAGGATGCTCTTTCGGTGTCTAGCATCCTTCCCCCGAACTCATACCATGTTCTCGTAGGAAAGCCATTTAGGGTCCTATATTAAGTGTTACTGCAGTCGGGAGTCTCACAGGGTCTTCGGTTCGGATTCCACTCATACACGTGTTCACGATGTCCACCACGCTCTCTAGAGACGGGTATGGCCATGATCCTTACATCTATATATCCTATTATAAGTCCATGTTGTGAAGAACGATCCTTATAAACTTAAGCATGAGATTACCTAAATGCCTAAATCATGTTTTTTCATGGACTATGATGCTTAAATGTTGATAAAGATTGATATACATGACAAGAAATGAATTTGATAATGATTTGAGGCCATATTGTTAAAATGGAATTAAATGGGTTATTAATGGACTATTATGTGAAATAGACATTTTTACTCATATATGAATTGTGTAGATACATGAATGAATATTTATGTATTGAAATTGGATACTTAAGTTATTTCCACATATATTTAAATATGTAGGTCACCACGAATGGGAACATCTGAATTGATAGGAATAATTTTAATAGTATTGGAATACTAGTTAATGATTGTTTATAATTGTTAAAGAATTGATCCTAGGGTTGGATTGTATGTGTTGCAATTGAATGTACTTCAAGTGCCTAAATTGATTTAGTATAAATAAGATCAAATATGGGTAGTCTTGATGTGTGCCCAAAGTAGCTTCTTGGTATGTCAATTCTAGGCATAGGACTTGCTTAGGAATTGAACTATCATAGAGTCGGGCCCTATGATTGCATGGAAACGTAGTTGGGCCGAGCCCTTTCCATGTAATTGTGCAATGCATGAAAACGTAGTTGGGCCGAGCCCTTGCCATGTAATTGTGATTTGCATAGAAACGTAGTTGGGCCGAGCCCTTGCTATGCAAATGTGAAGTGATGAAATTGACTTAAAGGATTGCATAGAAACGTAGTTGGGCCGAGCCATTGCTATGCAATTGTGATGTGATGAACTCTATGAGTTTCGTGATTTGTAGTCACGGGGAATTGGAATGGTGATTTCTAAATAAACATGGGCCCACGGGCCGACTACTTGACTTTATATAAAGTAAGTATATTTTCAAACGAGGTAACTTGGGGTTACAACCATATTGTACTATCACCCTATTTGAGGGTCTTGTGTTTGAAATACTTGTTGTATATCTATTAGATGTCATCCACACCAATACTTTATAGCCCTATAGAGTACTGACCTCTTCGGGGGCATCCCACCACCATTTCAGGTTGAGGCTAGAGCTTGCTTTCTGTGCTCGTTGTTCGGGTGATATCTCAGAGAGAAGACTTGGTTCGTGCTTCCTCCATTCTGTTTTGAACAATAATGATCTTGCTCATGGATATTTTACTTTAGATTCTGTGTGCTCATGTTTGCCCCGTGTGGCATTTGATTTCAAACTATGTTTTCCGTTGCGTATTGAATTGCTTATTATGTATGTTTATGGATGACTTATGTGTGAATGATATTCATGACGCTTTGTATAATATGAATGTTTGACTATGGTTGACTATTCGTATTGAACGACGGATTGTTGACGTGTCCGAGTAGGCCCGGGACGTGACAACCTGGGTTGTCCTTAGTTCAATTTGTCTTTCCCCTTCAAACAAACATGGCATCCATGCCATGGTTCGTTCTCACTACATTCTATGTTGACTTTACTATCCATAAAGTCAGTACATTTGAATAGAAATTCATTTAGTCATCTTTTAACTTCATCACTAGCTCAACTAACACTCCAAATATAGCAAGTAATCATCCTTCATTTACTCATAGACTAAATGCGCCAACTCTTCATATACAACAATATGATCAATTGACATGTTATTTTGCATCATAATTAATTAAAATCATGTTTTTATAAGTGAGGTAATCTCACAAGTTAACCCAGTAGTTATAAACAATATAGTCAGTCATACTCACCTTAAATATGTCTAGCAAGCTTCCTTATCGAAGCCCCGAGGTTAAACCCCCAAACAATGATGATCCGGATTGATGTGCTTGGATAGTGAGCAAAAGACGGGCGGCTTTCGGGCCTTGGAACATGAAACAACCTCCTCTCAACGGCGATTTCCGGTGATTCCAACTCCTATCGATTCAACGACTCTTCTAAGTTAAATATCAACACTTTATATCAATTTTCTACACTTTTAAACGTGTAAAACAACATTTATAATCCATTAAATGATCTATCAAAAAACATGTATATGAAATATATATTATGTAACGAGAATAACCGGGGATAGCGTTTTTGTTACCTAGAATTGAGTCTTCTTCCCGAAATCCTTTTCTTTCTCCCCCCTTTGCTCCTAGATCATACCAAGCCTTCTTGTTGAGTTCTCTCCCTCTCTCATTCGCATATGGCAATCCCAAAATGAAAGAAGATAGAGGAACTTCCTATCCTTATCCTTTCGATTATTAAAAGGTTGGGCCTAATGGATTGTGTTTGGTTCATGGGCTGCCCTTTACTAAATACCAATTATCTTACTAATAGATATGTTAGCTCCTATTTCGTATAGGGGCTTTCACAAATGAGAGGAATTATGTTCCTTCCCATTTTCCTTAATAAAAATAGCAAGTTGGGCTCTTTAGGTTAGGTTGACCGTTATTTTATTTTTCGGCCCAAATCAACTTATGTAACTTATTTTACACTATATTGGGCTCCTATAATTAATAAGATGACCCAACCAAATATTTGGAGTCCCTCCTAATAATTCAGGGTCGATACACAATTCAGTCCCTCCTAATCACTATTGATTATATCAGTTGATCACTTCTCATATGATTAATATAGCTAGTTGCTTGCTTCAAAATGATATTATACTCATTAACTCTACTAATCATTCTTGTTATGATTAATATTTATAGCTTTAATAAGTTTTAAATATTAATGGATGAATATTCCAAGTTCAAATCAGGGGGCAGTGTCACAATATGGGTAAGGATTAAAGGTACGAATATGGGGTAGGGGTAGGGGGTTCCTGGGTAGGATGTTGAGGAAGGGGTTAGGGGTAGTGGGGGTATGGCGGTATGGAGACGGGTAGGGGGTACGAGGATGGGTAAGGGGTAGGGGTAGGGGTTAAGGATTGGTTAGGGGTACAAGGGGTAGGTTGGGGTGGGGTACGTGTTATAAGTACAATGTAGGGGGTAGGGTATGGATAAGGGTAACGATAAGGGCGCAAAGTAAGAGTAGGAGTAAATGTGGAAATTGAAAAAACTTAAACCACCGGTTAATTAATTCATGGATGGTGGTATGCTAAGTAAGCAACACTTTAAGCACGTGTTTGGGATAGTAAGCAACCTTTTAAGCCGCCCGTGTGTTTATTTTACCAGTTTTACTAACCTTACTGTAGTTTTAGCAGCGAAGTAAACACGTCCTAAGTTAACTTGTAAACACAGAGCCACTGAGTAAGAAATACATTATATTTTACGGAGTATATGATTTTCACAAGGACATAAACATGATCATTTAGTCATGTAAAGTTTTGAATTTGAAGTTGAAAATATTTATGTGGCAATTGCCGGAGTCTAACACACACCACATTCACCTTGCCCGACAACAACTTTGGGTTGCCGTCTCGATCCTCAACTTCTTCGGGCATCTTGAAGACTTGAACCTGCATATGGACCTCAGACTCATTGATTCTCAACCACATATTAAAGTAATCTGGATGATACCGCAAATACAAGGCATATCTCTTTGTCTCCCCCTAATTCCAGCTCTGGCAAACACATTGCGCATTAAATCCCTTCTTCTGTGACCTAGCCTATCGAAAACACCTCTATTGGCGCATCCGTTGTCGGATTACCCCCTTTACAGAGGACGACCTTGGATCGGTCCGCCGCACCCTCGAGAAGGGTCATTGTACCAATTCTTGCATTCATGCCTACGATCACTTTAGGGCGATTCTGAGATGGTGAAGAAGCGGTGACGAAATTCAGAATTATGGGAAGAATCGGTGCTTTGACGATTGCTATGCCAATGTCTTTCAAAGAATATATCTGATAAGCGTTTTATTAGTGTGTTTTATACAATCATTTATAAACGCTTTTATGCTTAAAAGAATGAAATTCTCACACATATGCCTCATTTTGCTAAAAATACTCTAATCAACGATTGAACCAAATACGAGGATGATAGAATACACACGAAGAATCCCGATGGAAAAAGGTCAACCAAACTCATCCCGAGGAACAAACGAAATCAACAAAATTACACAAAGCTCACAAAAGTCGCCCAACTTTTGTCAGAGGTGCCTAGTGTTCGGCGCCGTAGAATTACTTTCGAAAAATCAAACCAAAAGCCGCCCGACTTTTGGTGAAAAGGGGCCGACGTTTGTCTCCTGGAGCGAGGATCTTTTAAAAGGCAAACGCCGCCTGGCTTTCGCCCATGCGAGATTAAAACATCACCAATCATATTCTACTCAATATACTTCCATTTTAGCATCTCAGGAGCAAACCCTTGGTCTTGGGAGAAGTTCTTCAATTGGGGAAGCAATTGTCCACCATAGCTTTGGAGTTGTGGTATCATTCTCTTATGTATTTCATTGTGTCTTATCATTTCAATACTTGTATTTTCATTATGAATTGTTCTAGCTAATTTTCCATAGCCAAGGTTAGGGATAAAACTTTACACACTCTAGGCGTTTGATGTACGTTCTCAACCAAATTATTATGATCTTTCCTTTATATTTTAATGTGTATGACTACGGTGTACAACATATGATTATATGGTTGGGTTTATTTGAACAATTAACATTGTGTTATAAACCGTGCACTTAAAGGTTAAACATATTCTAATTGTGGATATAAATATACCTCAATTGAATATGATGGTTTTTATAATGTCCCAATCTTCAATGGGGTTAACTTTAGATGAATGTGAAGTGTGAACCGTTATGGGATTTACACGTAGAGTTAATCACAATTTCGCTGCCGTAACAGGAGTTATAATACTTTAGTGACATTGCACTCATAAGAATTGGTGGAAGAACATATATTCATCGTTAGGAGTCGTTTAGGAGTAATCCCGAACCCTATTGTTTTTTGGAACATTCTTCTAAACCTATTATAGTATGTGCTCATGTTAATGCTAACATCCTTGATTGAGATGTGACTCGAACCTGCGACCTCTTCCTTAGGAGATCATCAACGATGTCATCAGACCACAAGGTATTTGGCCTTAGTTGCTTTTATTATCTCTTGAAAATAAAAAATATATACTCTTTCACCAAGTCTTTTACTAAAATATTTCCAACTTTGAATCATATAAACAACATTTCCTTGTATTCGACTCAGTATTTTTACCGTTTTTTATTACTACATCGATACTTGTACACTTGCAAGTTTTAGTCGATCAATATCAAGGAATTGAAAATTGACCGTCCTCTAATCCTCTCTTGGGCTAGGTGTGGCTTAATATTGACATAATATGATGATGTGGTTCTAATTAAAATCAAAATGATGACTTCATTTTCCATATTAGTTTCATGTTAGCCAACTAAGCCATATTAACGTTCTAATCTTGGGGATGTACTCAATTAACGCTAAAAGGCTGAATTTATGTCTTTGCTGATCTGGTCTAATCTGGTTTGGTCTGAATTGATCTGGTCTGGTCTAGTCTGGTCTAGTTTGGTCTTTATGTATTTTATAACTGCCCAATTTTGATCTGGTCTGAAACTGAAAAGGTCAACCTAATAAGATGAGTAACTCAAAATCTTATACTCCGTATTATATTTTATTGTTTTATACCTTTCTGGTGTCACAAATACTATGATAAAAACATACTAGGATATAATTTGGTCATCAATCCGTGCTTGACTTTCATTTAAGACGAGTCAAGTAGTCAACTCAAGTTCTGTTGGAATTTAAACTTAACTGAATTGATTGAATGGGCTCACCGTGACGTGAGTTATTATTTGCATCCCAGTCCCCATTATGCGCCACATAAGCTGCCATCCCAGCAACCTGATTCTACTGGAGTCATGGACTCCATAGAACTCTTGCAAAAACCCCAGTTCACAAGGTGCAAATCTCTTTGATTGATTTCGGAATTCGCCCCAATCCCAGCGACGAACCACCGAAGAAATCAGAGACACTCATCCGTGTATCAACAAATGGAGACAAGTTGGGGAGACAGAGATTCAAGGATAATCAATTCTGGAAGAGATCAAGATGCTCCAAAGACCAGCCCTGATGCAGCTCTTGATTTGCCGCCGCAGGTTCCTCACTGCATTGGAGGTATTATTATTCGCAGTTGGTGTTTGTTTGAGATTCGAAAATTTACATAATTTTCAAATTTTCGGAATTCTATACTTTATTGTATTGTTTTGGGTTTACATAAGTGTATTCCGCTGAGTCTGAAGATTTGTAAACCCAAATTACCTATTTTCTCATAAAATTCTGTTTAGATTTGTTATTCTGAACTGGTATTTTGCTATTCACGGTTGGTGTAATGGTGTTGATGCTATTATTTTACCTGTCACAATGCTGTGCAGATAAAAAGAGGGTTATTACTCCTCCAACTCCAGCAGAGAAAGAAGAGGGGTTCAGGAAGAAGCGGAAACAACATGTTAAAATAAAAAAACACAGACCCAAGATTTTTGATGAGAGCAAACCCAGAAGGACTCCACGACCTAATCCTAAAAGGGAAGGAGAAAAGAGGAAACGTACTACAGAAAACAGTCCCGTGAAGCCACCTGGTTCAGCTATTAGATCAAGAAAGATGCCTGACTCTTCAGCTTTAAATCCTCAAACTCCTATGCCTTCAGCCAAGGAAAGAAAGAAAAATGGTACTTCCGGAAAATCGAAACACCAATCGATGTCATGTAAACGAGGCATCAGTTTCAATTTAGAAAGCGCTGCAGAAGAGACTAATGTTGTCGTAGAGATAGCTGGTCCACGTATGGAAGGTAATATCAACTCCTCCATGCATTCACTATCCTTGGAGTTTCTGTTCTTCGAATCAACCTGGTGCTCCAACCACAGCTGGCACACCATTTCTTGTTTATTTGGTCCAAAAGTTGTTCATCCCACTAGTCAGGCGCTTGGAACATTTTATATATATTCAAATCTCTGTAACCTTAGATATGTATGTCAAATAATCTACTAACTACCTCCCGCAACTAGGCCCCAATTCAGGGCCGATCCTAGGATTTTTTTGGTCTGAGTCGAATAGTATAATAAGGCCCTTAAGCACCATAAAAAAATAATCATTAAAAACATTTATACTTAATTACTTACCTAGAATAATGAGATTATATTCTGGAAAGGAATGAATTAACGTCTTCGACTCTTCTAGATTGGAGAACTCTTCAAAGCTTGAAGTTGGAATTCGGGAAGTTGCAAATTCAAATTGGGCCTACTAATTATGGGTATATATATAAAGGAAAATCATATATTTTTGGGCCCTAATTTTTTCCCAAAAATCGTGGGTCTGAGGCAATTGCCTCTTTGCCTCACATGTAGGTTTGGCCCTGCCCCAATTGCAAACATTTTTCATTTTATACATTTATGATTTATGTAATACCTATGAGTTTTCATCATTTGCAATGGAGTCAAAGACTCAATATTTTTTGGCTTATGAATATGATGGCATAAAGCACAATGACTCACTAAACTGTTCGCGCTTCTTTGTAACGAAGCAGTAGTTAGTTCATGCAATTTTCGACGTGAATTTCACTATTGGTCATCCGGAAACAGTCTCTCCGTGATTTAGTACATGGGTAAGACTGCGTACACCCGACCCCCCCTTACCCCTCCATAAATGGGAGCCTTTGCGGCACTGGGGTGACGACGACGATGATGTAATACCTATGAGCTAAGTGATTAATTAGAAAGAAGTTTTGCATTTTTTTATTCCATTTGTACAATTTCATACACACATTATGTGTGGGAGTATGTTATACAGTATTATTGATCGTTTTTAGTACAAAAATATTTATAAAAGTGTTTTTTCCTACATGCAACTAGCGCCATGCATTTTTTATAATTATCACCTCGAGATGGAAAATAAGTCACCAAACATTTATGCCGCTTATCTCCTTAATGCAGATGAAAAGAGGCAGATTCTTGTGAGCAGTAACAGTGTAATTCCTTTAGTTGGTTCCCTCGATGGGATTGGTATGCAAACAGTCAATAATGCTAGGCAACCTGGAAGGGAGATCTTGAATAACTTGAGTTTGGAATTGAAACTAGCAGATTCAAGTCCCAACTTGAATGGAGACAAGGAGATGATTGGTGTGATGAATTTAAACGGGTGCTTGAGTAACTCTTTACAAGTTTACCAGAGGAAATTGCGAGCCAATGAACTGATAAAGTATTGTAGAAAGTTTGGACCCCGTTGCCTGAGTATATTTAAAAGAAAGAGGACGAAGAGACAGAGGGCAACTGAGTATTGCTTATGTTTCATGGATGACTGTACAAAAAAGACACTGTTGCCTTCCAGGTATCAATTGCGCAGCTCCTCCAAGCAACGTTCTTTGTTTACAATCAGCCGACTCAATCTTTCATCAATGCTACCTACAGCAAGTCAAATTGAAGCAGCGATTTGTGATCCTGAATCTTTCAAGTGCCAACTATCTTTGTCTCCTTTAGTGAAATCTAAAAGGAAAAGATCCAAAAGGATTCCCCGAAGTCACTCATCTTTTTTGCAAGTGTCTCATTCTACCATGGTTGAGAGTACTGATTTAGAACTCATCTGCCATGCTGAACATAGTAATTTCTTGAGAGTTTGCTTTTATATTTTCCACATCTCTATCCTAACAGAATAATGTATTCCGTATACTTTAATGTGAAACAAATTGTGTCTGCAGGTTACAAGAAAGAGGACCCCCCATGTCTTGAACCAGCTATTCAAGAATGTCTTGATCTAATAGCGTATACTGCTTCTGGTAGAACTTGTGTTCATTTTTGTACAACCTAATTGTGTATAGAATAATATCATCTTAATATATAGTTTAAATTTACTGCAGATTTAGAGTCTAAATCTGGATCGGGAACTCGTGATATAAAAGATTGTAAACTACTTGACATTGAATGCCATCCTAAAGAAGCTTTCATTCCAACCAGTAAGAGTAATTTCCGTAAGTCTAACACTCACCATTTTACTATTTTAGTACCCCTGATTTTGTGTTAGGTCACTATGCATTTGATTGATTTTCTTATTTGTTCCTTTTTTGAGATATGTATTTATTTTTAATGACATATGTGGTTGCTGCAGGATCACATGCAAAAGTGAAACTTAAGATCTACCCCCCAGATATTGAAGTTGCTTTTCAAGAAAAAATGTTGGCAATTGCACAGGGTACTTCAAGTAGGACTTGTATTCAAATTTGACTGTATCTCTTTTTGCAAATGTTATGAGTTTTCTTAATTTGAATACTTATGTTATCAGTTCTATTAATTTGAATTTTATGTTAACTGTAGAGTCACAGTCAAACTCTAAAGTTAAGAGACGCCGCTTACAAAATAAAAGTGTCCTGGCAGAAAGAGACAGCCAGCAGTTTCTTGATATGCAATTCAGTCATCAAGCAGGTTGTTTGCCAATTACACTTGAATATTTATTATATGCCAGTAAATGTCACATATTTTTTGAATACTCCTATACACAATGCTAAATAATGTATTTTCTACTTTGATTTAAATATTTATTTTACAGATTTTGAAATCATGGCCGCCATTGAATCAATTATCCAGCAATTGGAGAATCTGAAAATAGACGACAAACAATGCCAGCTGGTAGTGAGAAACAGAAACCTTCAAGGTGGAATACTTCCTTACCAAAAGAAAATAGTTCCTTTGAAGAAACAAAAAATAGCAAAGGTTGATCTGGATCCAGAAACAATCAGAATGTGGAATCTGTTGATGGAGAGAGATGCAAGTGAATTGCCAGAGGATACAGATGAAGAGAAGAAAACGAATTGGGAGGAGCAGAGGGAATTATTTCGTCATCGTGTGAAGGTTTTCATTTCCTGCATGCATATTCTTCAAGGTATGTCTAAACATTGGAGGATTCAGAAAATTAGTTTAGATTGGCCAATGTTTTGTTTTAATGTGGTGCACATATTTAAACAGTCAGTTTTAAGATAAGATTTTAATATTAGTTTCTAAGAAAGTCAAATTCTAGCCAAGGAATATCTTTGAGATCGAGTGTCAAATTGTAGGCTTGCCCACCCATCCTTTGATTAGTTTTAAGAACTCAAAAATTGAAGTCCCCATCAATCAAATACTAACATAAGGTAATATATCTTCCTACATCATCCACCTCCTCCTACAAGCCACTGTATGTAGTATGCTCGACAGACTTGGGCTGTTACATGCATTTGTCTTTATGTTGTGTATTATCTTAATCTTACATATGTTTATCCAGGCATGCTCATGACATTTTATAGACACGAGACATTGTAAAAAGGCCATCATTATTTTCATTACACATTTGCGCTCACTAACATTTTTCAAGATTACGTTCACTTGATTGACCCAGATTATAATTGGAAAAACCCGCTATATTAACAAATCTATCCATAGGTTCTTTATGATAATGTATTTAATCCTCAACTAGTTTTTATTCACTGCCAGATGATTGTTTTTTGGAAACGTTTTATATAAAATTGTAATAAAAAGAACACCACCTAATGATTATGGAAGAACCGAAGAACCACAAAAGGAGATCACAAAATATATTGAATCCCACAAAAGGAACATATTAAAAATTTATTTTAATTGGAAGTATAGAACACCAATTGTAACTATAGGTACCTGAAAAGTAGAAGTGTAAAACAAAAACTTAGAGTAGCACACCAGAAGCTCGAGGGATGAAGTAGTCGGTAAAATTGGCATTGCAGTACTGCGGCGCTGCGAGTACTCTACTCCCCCCCAGCAGTAGTGTGGTGACTGGCTGTGAGCTTGGTGACGCAGTGGATTACCTTAAAAGTAAGAATAGGTTACCTGAAAAGTAGAAGTGTAGAGTTGTAGAGAAAAGTATAATTTATAAATAAGGAAAGAAGATATTCATTATAAATTGGAAATTGTGCTTTCGAGGTGACAAGCTGCTTTCTTCGTGAGGCGAGTTCCTCTGATTTGCGGAGAAGTCGAACTGTTGAAGACTTCAGAGGAGGTTGCTTAGTAGCATGGGCGGTGGATCCAAATTATCTCTCTTCAGTATTCTTTTATAAAATATATATTTCTTATATGAAATTATTATGTAAAATATTATAAGCCCTCTGTAGAAATATTGGGCCCTGGATATCAGCCCACCCTGCCCCTGTCGGCTCAGTGTTTATAAACTCTTTTGAATCTTATTTTTTTTGAAAAACTAGATATCTATCAACCAATATGATTAGTTTTTTCTAATAAATTGATTTATCAATTTTATGACGCGAGGCATAGACCGAAAAACATGATCATTTATTCATCAGTATGTGAAGAAAAATATGAATATTTAAGTTTAAATCAGATACTACCTCCGTCCCATTTTATGTGTCTTGTTTTGGTTTGACACAACTATTAATAAAATGGTTGAAATTTGAGTATAATAAAGTGAAATGTTATGGACCACATATTTCTTTCCAAAAAAGGAAATATGACACTTATTTTGGGACAACCCAAATGGAGTATTTATTTGTTATCATTTTTATGGCTTGAGTTATTCAATGCATTACACTGAATAATTCTTAGGTGATAGGCGTTTCTCGCCGTGGAAAGGATCAGTGGTGGATTCAGTGGTTGGAGTTTTCTTAACTCAAAATGTATCCGACTATCTTTCTAGGTATGCTTACATTATTAATACAAATAATCTTTTGGTTTCCTCTAATGGCATGCAATTAAGAATGTTAATGATTTTTTACAGCAATGCCTTTATGTCTCTTGCTGCCAAATTCCCTGCACCATCAAGATGTAGGGATACAAAAGGTGTTACCCCTTGCAGTCAAGAATCAACATCAAATACTACAGCACCTGATGGCCTAAATATATCACAATCACTAGAAGCCTCCATCTCTGCCAAGCGGGATAAAGAACCTGGGCCACCAGAAGCTGAATATGAGGTTGAAGAGAAAGAGCTTGGTTTACTGGAAGATGAAAGTGTGGTTGGAGACAAAGAGATTGGTCTGCTAGAGGATCGAAATGTGGTGGGAAATCCCCCCGAAGATGAAAATCTGGTTGTAGAAAAAGAGCTCGGTCCACTGGAAGATGAGAATGTGTCTGCAAAGAGCGAGTCTAGTCAGTTACAAGATGAACATATGGTGGGAAGTTCTTCAGTGACCTCCACTTCAGAAAAGTCTACCACTCCAAAACAGACTCCTGTACGTGAAAAAGTACGTAAAGTGACAAAAATGCAAATACCCGATGTTGACTGGGAGGAATTGAGAAAAACCTACTACAATCCAAGCAGGACTCATGGAAGAAACTTGGATTCTGTTGACTGGGATGCTGTTAGATGTGCTCCTGTTGAAGAGATTGCTAAGGTAATTGAGAGTAGAGGGATGAATAATATTCTTGCAGCAAAGATCAAGGTAAAAGTTCCAAGATCATGAAAATAAATTACTAATGCTCGTTTTACTTCACAAAAGTTATGGTTATGATTCACCTTGGGTCTTCAAATGTCCAGGCCTTCCTAGAGCGATTAGTTCATGACCATGGGAGCATTGATCTGGAGTGGCTGAAAGATGTTCCTCCTGATAAAGCCAAGTATGCCATCAACTAACTGTTAATTGGTATTTACTATATCTGCATGATGTTTACTAGATTTGCACTGGAAAATAGAATATTAACAAGAAAAAATACAAGTATTGTAGAACAGTTTCTTGGTGGAATGTCTCAAATGTTACTCTTCTTTTAGGGAGTTTTTATTGAGCATAAGAGGAGTGGGTTTGAAGAGTACGGAGTGTGTGCGGCTTTTGACTCTTGGTCATCTTGCTTTCCCAGTAAGACCTCACCTTAAATTTTGTTATAAAATTAGTTTTACAAGTGTTCATGGTCACATTATTGAATCTTATTATTCTTAAGGTCGATACAAATATTGCTCGAATAGCTGTGCGACTTGGATGGGTGCCTTTGGAACCACTACCTGTTGAACTTCAGATACATCTACTGGAACAGTAAGTTTCATTTTATCAAGGGAAAACTGTCAAATAGGTCCCTGTACTATATGGAAAAAGTCAATTAAGTCCTCGTACTATTAAATCATCCAATCAAATCCTCCAACTACAAAAAACTGTCAATTAACTCTTTCAGCCGGTAAACAACCGGTAAACGTTAACTTATACACATGGCTGGTCCACGTGGCAGACTTTTCCTTTTTTTCCTTTTCTTTTTCCCCTTCTCTTTTCCTTGGTTTTCTTCTTCCGCCCAAGCCCCGCTGCACAACATCTTTACAGAGTATGTTATTTCCTCTTTCCTTCTTTCTTTTCTCCACCCCAATCTAAAGAAGCTTGCCATTTTTTCACCTCCGGAACTTCAGCAAGTACAGAGGAGGATGGGTGCTGCAAACGACGTGGACCATGGGTGCTGCCACTTGCCTCAGATGATCATATCTTCTTCTCCGATGCGGGGCGTGCCGACGAAGTTATGCACTGGCTCACCGCTCATCAGTCTTCTTCTTCTTCTCCATCCATCTGGTTCTATTCAATTCGTTGCTTTGCTGCAAAACTAGTGGGCACCGGCATGATGGCTGCTGTGATGTCGACTGCTGCGATTTCATCACAGGTCTTGGGCTATCTTCCACATGTTTACGGGCGAGTTCACCAACGAAAGGAATGGTCAGTGTTGTGACTATGGTGGGGTGGCAAAAGAAGAGAGGAAAAATGGGTCCTGGGTTTGCCGGTTGGGTGCTTCGCCGAAGAAGAAAGTAACGAGGGAAGAAAGAAAGAGTTGCAGGGAAGAGATGAAAGAAAAAGAGAATGAAAAAGGATAAGAAAATAAAAAATAAAAAAAATGCCACTTGGGCATCCAGGTCACAAGTTTTACCGGCGAAACTTAAAACAACCGGCTAAAAATCAAAATTGGATGTTCTTTTATAGTTGAGGGACTTGATTGAGTGATTTAATAGTAGGAGGACTCAATTGACTTTTTCGATATACTACGAGGACTTATTTGACAGTTTTCCCTTTTATCAATCCAGAAAAAGATACTGTTATCGTTTATCATATTTTTTTTGGTCATACCATTTATCATATTATTAAAACTAGTGTTAACTATTGTTTAGGTATCCCCAAATGGATGCCATTCAAAAGTATCTGTGGCCACGTCTTTGCACATTGGATAAAAATATACTGTAATAATCATTTCCGTATCTCACTAAATTTATCTCATAGTACACGTTCTTCTTTACAAATCAAGTTAACTCTGAATATCTTAAAATATGATTTGCAGGTATGTATTACATTACCAGTTAATTACCTTTGGAAAGGTGAGTCACAATCCAACCCCGAGGCTTCTTAATAGTAAACTTGTTTATTCTTTTTGCTCTTTGCTGATATGTGTCAATATAATACTCTGTACAGGTTATTTGTACCAAGAAGAATCCCAATTGTAATGCCTGTCCGCTAAGAGCAGAGTGCAGGCACTTTGCAAGCGCATTTGCTAGGTTTGCTTCTACTTAGACTTTAATTATAGCACTTTAAATCTGTGTCAAAATGAAACATTGTATTTCTTAGGGCTCGTTTGGTAATGTTTGATGTTTTAAGCTTTGAAATTTTCACAATACAAAACATGATTGGTATATCTGTTTTTTCATTACGAAAAGATACGTTTTTAATAAAAGTTTTAAATGTATTATGAATTGTGTCACATTTGAAACATGTTATCCGAAAGCAAGGAAAGTTCAAACTCATGTTTCCAACATTTTTGAAAATTAGGTTTTTGTTTTTGTTTTAAAAAAGTAGAAACAAAAAGGACACATTCAAAAAAATTCTTTCATATATGCTCTCAGGAAAGGGAGCAGGAAACAAAAACCTTGCCAAGGGACATCGACCTAAGAGTCTGACACTCTGACTGTACCATTTTTATTTTGAATTTTGGCCAACATAACAGAGAGTACTCCCCTCCCCTGCTCCCATCAAAATAAAATTTATTATCATTTTTTCTCCTAAATAATAACATGTTTGAGGTTCACAGTTCAAGGCTTCGCCTTCGAGGAGCACCAGAGAGAAGTGTGGTTATCCCACAAGATCAAGTAAGAGATGATGTGACCTTGGATTCACATATTAGAGAGCATATACCGCCTCCTGTAATAAAAGATATTGAAGACTACGGATGGGAGAGCAAGGGTCCTAAATGCCATACGCAAACTCTTGTGCGAGCTGTTGAAATTCTAGCATCTCCACAGGCTGAATTTGCTAGTGTATTAGACGACAAGAATGAGAAATACTGTCCTCAAAATTGTGATCCTATTATTGAAATTCCAGCATCTCCTGAGCCCGAATCTACAGTATCACATGACAGAGACACTGAAGAAGCTCAATATGAGTCAGAAGACGAAAATGGGATACCCCACTTCAGACTTAATACTGAAGAGTTCAAGAGAAATTTGCTGAATTATTTAAATCCAGATTTTAAAGAGGAAGAAGTATCAAATGCTTTGGTTGCTCTTACCCCAAAAGATGCTACAATACCAGCACCTAAAATGAAGAGTGTTGAGCGTTTAAGGACAAGGCACCGAGTGTAAGCTATAACATTAATTTTCTTAATCTTTAGAAAAAGTTAAGTAGATGTATTTGTGAATACTGTTAATAGGAAATTTCGTTGCTAAACAAAATAAAATTAGACATACTGATACTTTTCACTTTATGCAGCTATATTCTACCAGATTCACATCCACTTTTGGCTGGGGTAAGTTTTACCTTAATATAGTTATTATATATGTAGTATTTATATAATGTTGCACGTATTTTTCACTGATGTTTCTCTTTGCTACTTTTTCAGTTTGAACAGCGGGAATATGGTGATCCTAGTCCATATCTTCTTGCAATTTGGCCAAAAGGTAACATCATAAAGAATGCTAACATTAAATTTATTACTAAACTAACAATTACTGTATATAAAATCAAAATCTCTGTGTAATTATGCATTATATTTTAACTTCTTGAAAATAGAATCTTCAAATCAATCAAGAAGCGAAAGCAGCACCCAACAAGATTCTGAAATTTGTGATGGAGATATAGACTCTTTGGGTAATGTTTCTCCAGAAGCAAATGAGCAAGCAGTTTGTGGAACAATTTTGGTAAGCGCAAGCTGCTTTACAATCTCTACACTCCACTAATTTGTGCAGTTCAGATGAATATTGACTCACATCTGTAATGAATGTGCAGATACCATGTCGAACTGCAAACAAAGGAAGCTTTCCCCTCAATGGAACATATTTTCAAGTTAACGAGGTACTAAAAGATGTTCTCTTACCTGGAATAGCTTCCATATATTGTTTCCCCCCTCCCACACACACGTATAATATGTATGTGTGTGTGCACGCATGAATTTTTACCACTTGCAACACCCTGAACAGGTATTTGCTGATCATGAAACAAGTGAATGTCCAATAAATGTCCCCCGAAAGTTGATATGGGCATTGGAGCAACAATATTTATATTGTGGAAGCACTGCATCAGCAATAGCAAGAGGTGAGAAAACCTAGCGACTCGTTTGGGGATTTTTTTTTTTAAAGTGATTGGGAGAAGTACTTTTGATAAAAAAAAATATATTTTATAAATCAATTTCACTAAGAAGCAGTAAAATGGCTGGCTTTAAAAATATCTAAAACTCAAGTGTTTTTTAATCTTGTTAAAGTGCTTCATGATTTTTTTTTATAAAAGCACTTGGAAGTGATTTTTAATCTTCTTAAAGCACTTCGGAAATTATAACCCAAACATTATTAAGATATGCAAAAGCACTATTACCCTGATAGAAGCACATTTCGCGCACAACATCGGCTTATTTAGTGTAACATATACATGTTCTCTTATGTGCAACTCTAGGTATGGATATGGAGGAGATTCAACATTGTTTTTGGAACGGTATGAGGCCAGATCTTTTACTAATATTAAATACGTACAATAAAAAATGATCAATGATCATATTCAATTTGTGTTTAACATGTCTCCTACATTTATAATACAGGTTTTGTATGTGTAAGAGGATTTAACAGGCAAACATGTGAGCCAGAACATCTTGTAAAACGATTTCATGAACTCCCAAGTGTAGCTGGGAAGAAGAAATTTCATGATGACGAATAAGATTAAAGTTGGAACATGGCTGAATTGGAGTATGAGAACCTGCAAGGAAAAAAGGCAACAGTTAACCGTCATTTCCGACATTCTCATATTCCTGCCATTTCCGACTATTGTTGATTAGGAATTAGGATTAGAACTAGTCATATTGGTGTAAATGCTTTATCATAAATATATCTTTGCTCGTTTTACTAAACATGTAATTTTTATTTTGCGCATTAAATTGTGTAATAATCAAAATAAATAAAGTAGTATTTACTTTTCTTGTTGAACTTGTTAAAGAGAACTGTTAACTATTTTACATATAATTTTTATTTGTCTTATTAAAAAATATATTTTAATTATAGGGAAAGTTCTTAGGGATATGACTAAAACTCAATGAGTTTTCCAATCTATGACCTAACTAGTTTTTGGACTTTTGTATGACCAAAAATCCCAAAAAAAATAAGAAATCTCGTTTATAATTAAAGTTTGAATGACAAAAATACTCTTATTTAATATATGTGGAATTTGCATTAATTTTGTCCAATTAAAATTATTGCATTTTATATTGTCGTTAATGCACGACATTAATGCACATCCTATAATAATCACTGCACTTCTGCCAAAATTAATTTTATCATTCACTTTACGAAATTATTTATAGTTTTTATTTATTTTTTATTTTTTTAGATTTAACAATTTTATTATTTTACGTCTAATTAAGTATATTGTGTTTCATGGCGACTTTACTGCACTATTAGTCATATTCACTGCACAACAAACTTTCTAAATGCATGCATTTAATGCCATGTACAATATATATTGTCATATTCACTGCCATAATTATTTTCATGTTAGTCAATTTTCAATACTCACACACCATAATTATTTTCAGCAATATCGATTTCATGATTTCATGCTCATTGCTCATATTTAATGCCACGAACCATAATTTCAATATTGAAAAACAAGAATAAGAATGGAATAGAAGTATTTAATATTTAACCACTGTCAACAATCCACTTTCTATCAACCATCACTTCACCCACATCTCTAGTAGTATTTCCATCCGAAGCAAGATTGGCAAGATTCTCTTTCCATTTTAAAGATGAAGAATACGTAACCTTCCTTCCTTATGCCGACTCCACCCAATGTTTTGAAAAAGCGTGCCTCAGATCCGACACGCCTGGAGGAAGCTAAGGCGGCCATTGAAGCGGGTCGAATCAATTTATGACCCTGCTTGCGTCGCGGGTCGAATCATTGAAGTAGATGATGACGGGTCATGGGGCGGCGTGCGCTCTCCTGGGCGGTGATTGTGCTCCTGGACGGCGGCTGACAGTGGGCCATGGGCGGCGGCGGCGGACGTGCGATGGCAGGCGGATGGATATATGGAGGTGGTAGAATGGAGGCTAGGGTTGGAGAAAATAGTAAAGCTTAGGGTTTTATAGATATAACCTAAAGGTTAAATTTGTACACCTATATTTTTTAATTATTAAATAATTACGAATTTAAATAAATATTAATATTATTTTGGTATAAAAACTACTCCGTAGTTAAATCATAGATTGAGAAAGGGGAGAAGTTTTAGTCATACCTAGGATAATTATCTCTTAATTATAACACTTTCATAATTCAGGCGATTCATTCAATTCAGCCGCCTCACTCATAATTTCACAAATTTTATCATATTTAACTGCTTAAGTCAATTTTAGTCTTAGGAGACAAACTTCAACAATCAACACTACAGAGGGTAAGATTTGTGATATTTGTAAAAAAATTTCTCCCGCAAATAGGTAGTGGACCAATCATTAATTATCGCCTCTAACTTGCTGCTTGCCTCACATAGTCACGTAGCTCTAAACCATTGCAATTGAATAAAATTTGTCCAATTATACCACGTACATACACATTAAAAATTAGACATTTTCTAATACTTAAATTCTACCCAAATTCATTCCTCTTCTTCATTGTTCATATCTAATCTATGCTTTAGTGGCTTACCAATGTCCATAGCTACCCTTATATGCATAAAGGGTTTCCATTGTCCATAGGACCATAGGTAACTCAGAACATGGCTTAAGAATCAAATTTTATCATCTGTTTTTGTAAAAATAATAAGTAAAAAAAATTGAAACATGATTTCTTTTTGTCCCGTGATGGAGGGAGTAATATGCATCATATAAATACCATGATGTTTTTTAATTACCTGGTATAGAAAAGATGCAGCAGGAAATGCGAGCACAATGGTGCACCTAACGATTTGTCTTCATTTTTTGCAATTTCTCTGGCTACATGTGGGACTTCTTGGTCGGACTCAAGTGAATTTAGGAAGCTTTTTGCTAACAATGATCTTCTAGTTACTGAGGTTGAGTATTTCACCTTGTCTTCAGGCAGCGAAAGAGTAAACTTCTTGTAGTAAACCTAATGATGTTTGACCAATTAGTGACAATTTTCTCGAGAACTGTATTGGAAATAGTGTTAATGATAGTGAAGCCAATAAGGTAAGACAATAAGAGTGACTTCTTGTGTGCGGTAGTGTATAGATAGTGTTGTGATTTGTGAAGCTAATGATTTTCCGAATGACTCGGATTTACTTCTTTCAAGGGTTTGAGTGGTTTTTTAGGAGATTCAAATTTATCCGGTGAAATCGGCATCATGCGTTGTTAACAAAGAAAACTTTGTATCAGTGTCGGCTTTGGACCCTAGGAAGCTAGGCAACTGCCTAGGGCACCACATAAAGATGGGGCACCATTTCTTTAAAAAACTAGTATTATTAGTATTACTTCGTTTTAGTTATAGTATACAATTATACATATTACGGAGTACGTATAAGTCACTTAAAATGAAAAAGTAGTATTAGAAAATTTGGAAGACAAAACGTTCATTAGTATAAAAAGGGCTCACTAACTCATCACCCAACTCCCAAACCCTATTTACCATGTGAGTGCTTAACAAGTTGACATTAATTAAAATCTTTGATTTTGCAATTCTTTAATTTAATTAAAAAGCAATTACTCCGTAATAGAGTGCAAGGGCCATCTGGGAAGTCATTCAAAAATAATTTAACATATTAACAACAAAACCAAATAAAGACTTTTGAGTTTCTATACTTCGGAAATCAGAATCGTCGCTAGTCCTTCACCAATCACCGAGACACCTATTCGGTAATTCATCATAACTCCAGTAATTCAGCATGGATAATTTTCATCTTCTTTCTTCCTAATGAAATCGGAATTAAGCTTCACAAGATTCTAGTTAACACCACAACAATTATTAAGGTGAGTTATTTAATTTTTATGATGTTATCGTTGCAATTGATTGTCTATGCCGGATTATGGATTGGATTTTTCTTTGTAAATTTGTGATATGAATTTATACATTAGTAATAATATAAATAATTAGTGCTACATTATTATTTTTCAATTTTTCTATGACGAGAAACGGGAGCAAGACTATGTGGCTTTTAAGAGAAAATTTAAGGAAATAGAAAGAAAAAATGACAAAAGTAAGACTTTCGGGTTTTGACCAGACACTTTTAATTGCGGGTTATATGGATAAGAACGTGAGCATAGAATAAGAATTTAGAGACAAATGATAAACATGAGCATATGATGTCGAAAATAAAAATAGAAATCACAGTTCAAGCGACATTAATAAAGATTCAAATGTAGATTATGAGAATTGAATGAGAATGTCAATGGTGAGAATTGAGAAGGATATTGTACGTTTATAATTTTATGTATTTCATACTTCATATATAAGAATATACATTTTCAAATATATCATTTGTAAGTTAATTATTACTGCCTTTTACAATTTTTTATGAGCACATTCACTAGTTATCGTGTTAAGTTCTTTCATTTTTTAATTACTTCATATATACTCTGTATTTTATTTTATTATTGATTTAAAGTATTATCTAAATTTATTTTTTGTCCGGGGCACCAAAATTGCCAAAGTATACATATATTTTGAAATTTATTCAAACCAAAACGATCAGATGCATGCACATCATGACTCATTAGTCATTAGTCAAGCTGTTTCATGTCAGTTATGAAAAATTGATTTCTTTATCACAAGTGTGATTTACTGTGATGGTGTATTATTATGCCATTAACTCAAAAATGTTGGTGGTTAGTAATAAGATAGTCAAATGGAGGCATAATATTATTCTTCCGATCCACCAATTAATCTATGCAAAAAATTTAAAATTTACGACAATTTCAGCCATCACAAAAATAAGTTCTTGCTATTTCATGATTTTTATAAACAAAAACTCACAAATCCAAAACGGAAATAATTACTCGTGCCGTAAGACAACATGTTACTGTGTCTACTATGTACTGTTTTATTATCGAATACACTGTGTACAATTTCCCGGTACAATTATTACTAGACTTATTGGCTGAATATATCCTCAACTTTCTTAAAATTCACAAATATATCCTCATCTTTTAATTTTATCTTAAAAAGATTCAAACTATGTGTTTCCCCTGCAATACCACTTTCCGTTTAGTCAAGTTATTTCTGTCCGTTTGTTGATGAAGTGGCAAATGAATCATTGTCCACTTCATCAAATCCCACACGTAAGAAAGCTGAGATAGTTTAAAAGATAAAGTGAGGGCTGGTTGGATTGTTAGGTTGAGAGTTCTTCATCGCAGGACTGATACGCATCTCGTAGCCCGGAGGAGAACCCAGCACAACTGATGTGCTGCTGCTGCTGACCTTCGAACGGTGAGCTATGAACTGGATCGACATCACACTGGAGAAGACGGAGTGGCGGAGTGCTGCGCCGGAGAAGAAGAGCCGTACCGCCGGACCTAACTGCTGCCTCCGCCGTCTCTCGCCTGAGACGCCGCCACCGTAGTTGGAGGAGACAGTCCAAGTCTCTCAGGAATTTTAGAAGCTCCCAGGAGACGTCAAATACGCAAAGAAATCCTGGGAAAACGTTTTACAGGTGCAAGTTTTCGTTGGTATGTGTCTGTCCCTGTTCATTCTATATACTTTTATTTATTCTTCACTTTAGCCCGCAGGTGTTTGACAAAATGTCTCAAAGAAATGTTTCAGGTGAAACATATGGACTGTGGATATTTTAAATGGGTGGAGGATGTAATGAAGAAAAATGTTGAAGCATTGAATATGGATGTGAAGCAACTGAAAGAACATATTGATGATCTTGGTAGAGAAATGAGAGCTCATGTGATCCACATAAAAAATGAAAACCAAGACAGAAAGGCGGGCATAAGAGAGTTTGAAAGAAAGCACACAAGCATGAACTGGATAAAGATCGTGTTCCTTATGTTAGTGTTGTATGGCGTTACACAGATGAGTTTGTTTCATCATATCGATATAGACTCATGTATATGTAAGGATGGAAATTCTGAAGTATTATTATTGATTAGAGTTCATGTACTATTGGATTATGATTTGGATTAATGGCTAGAAATGTTTATATTTTGCTTACTACTCCGTATTTTTTAGTGTATCGTATCTATAGCAGTCCAATGGTACATTTGAAGGCCCCTAGTGTAGTATTTTGATTCATTTTAACATGTGTATTGTTTTGGTTTCTCTCAAAGCTACATCAAAGCATACACATGGAGGAAAATAGCAAAAGTACAAAGCTACAGCTCTGCTTAATCTACATGTTGAAGTAGAAACAATAACAAATTGATCAAATTGATCTCTGTTGGAAGCTGTAAAAGTGCAAAACTGCACTTCATTGAAAAAAGATGCATCAAAGCATAAAAATGCAGGAAATTAGCAAAAGAATAAAGGAAAACTAGCACAACAACACTGCAGAAAAAGCTGCATCAAAGGAATTGCAGAAAACTACACGAAAACTGCATAAAAGCTCCTGAAAACTGTTTTACACCTACTGGAAACTGCACAACATAAGCCAAATACATTTCAAAGTTAACAATAAACACATAAATCAATTACCTTGGTTGTTGCAGCAGTGTTAACTTCTCTTGGCTGCTTACATGTTCTTGTATTATGGCCATACATATTGCAGTTGCGACACTTCATCTTAACACCGGTCTTGGGCAGTTTTTTGGGATCTCGTGGCAGTTCTGACCTCTCATCCTTCGATTTTGCCCTATTTTTCTTAGGCCTTCCAGGCATTACTTTGTGAGGTGGTGGTTTGATGTCAGAACCTGGAACTGCCGGCCACATTAAATATCCATTCAGAGGCGGAAGCCCTCTAGAGTAAGTAAGAGAATGAGTTTCCCTTGTGTAATAGGTATCCACGTACTTAGTTGGGTCATCTCTTAGGAAAGCAATGCTTGAAATGACATGCCTACAAGGTATTCCGCTCAAGTCCCAACCCCTACACCCACATGTACGCTGGTTTAAATTCACACCATATTGATCATCTTCCTCGGTTACTTGGAAATGCCCTATTGCGGATGGAATGCACACGCAACGCGAGCTAGCTTCAATATTTTTGTCTAATATTTTCCTAATCCTTGGGCATATTAAATCTGAACTGTTTTGCATCAAATGCATCTTCTTATATATCCGCTCCATCACATAACATCGTATATCTTCAAGCATGTTAATAAGAGGTCTTGTTCTTGCCCTACAGATGGTTCCATTGAATGCTTCACACATATTATTATCCGATGCATCACATTTCACATTAGTCCGGAAAAAGGACTTACAAAACTTGGCCGGACTTCTTTCCATAAATTCTTCATATGCATCTTTGTTAGTCGCTCTCATTTGTGTTACAACGCGATCAAAAGCTGAATGATTTGGTGCTTGTACAGCCATCCAAAAAAAACTCTTTAACTCATCACCTTTCCAATTTTTCTTCCAATTTGCATAAACGTGCCTAGCACATAGTCTATGCTCTGCCTGAGGCATATTAGTTGCAATAGCATTGCAAAGTCCCTTTTGACCGTCACTAATGACAGTCCACCTCAGCCCATCAATAATTCTAAAGTCTTGTGTGAAGAGTCTCAAGAACCAGTTCCAATTATCTCCATTTTCAGCATCAACTACAGCCCAGGCTAATGGAAACATCTGGTTATTTCCATCACGGCCAACAGCAGCTAATAAACACCCTCCCATTAAAGTCTTCAAGAATGCCCCATCAAGCCCAAAAACAGGTCTGCCTCCCTCTAAATAATTCTCCCGTAAGGACGAGAAACCTACATATATTCTTCTGAACACATTATTACTATTAGGAATGGGTTCATACACAAATGTTCCTTCTTTGTCTACTCTTTGCATCTCTGCAATATAAGGCCTAAGCCTTTTGTAGTGCTGCTCTAAAGTGCCTCTCAGAATCTGTAATGCTCTTGTCCTAACCCTGTATAACTTTTGAGTTGGAACTAGCAAACAAAATGTTTTTCTCAAATCATCCTCCATCTCTGAGATCGGCCATGATGGGTTTACCCTAAACTTGTTCAAATATCTTTTGGCTAGCATTTCAACAGTTGCCTGTCTATTTGTTAGAGATCTTCCACACAAATGTTCTGGACCAACCGTTTTCACAACAAATCCATTGTTATCTTGCATCCAACTAGCATACACTCTCCAGTAGCATCCACTAACACATCTAACATCCATTTGTTTATGTGTAGACTTATACCAAGTTAAATTTCTGCCACTATTCAATGCATATAACTGCACAGCATCTCTGAATTGCAATGAATTAATAAACTTCAGGCCAACTTTCCACACCATGGTCTTATGATCACATTTTGGATCATATTCAACTATCACACAATCTTTTTTCTGTACTCGATATGCAAATATGTCATCTGTGTCGCTAGGTGGGGGGCTGTCTTGCTCACCATCGGATGCCACATATTCAGATTCATATCCAAAATCTATTGGATGTAAATCGTCTTCCGTGTGTACGTCGTGGCTTATTATGTGTGAATCGCCAAGCACAGCTCCGTCAATTGTATCCACAAATACAGAGCCTATTTCCCCTCCCAACTGCTTGTTCAGTTCCCTAGCTGTAGCTAACTCCTCATCACTTGAGCTATCATCTGTAATATGGGTGTTCTCATGACACTCATACATATCTACATCAACCTCAAACAGACCATCAACCTCTAGACCATAAGCATCATCTTCAACCAAATAATCTTCTCCCTCATTTCCATCCCCTAGAGTGGGATAGTGTGTTTGTACGGAGCAGTCCATTTTGTAATCTGCAAACAATCTAAAATCATTGTGGTTAAAAATAAAAAAACCAGTAGTTATTTATTTATTGATTTACTATTGGGAAAACTTTATTTAGTATTTCTAAGTTAATCTTTTGAACATCAAACTTTCAACAAATTTTGAAAACCTCAATTAAATTAATTAAGTTTCAAGCCTAAACTCCCACTGAAACACTAATATCATGACCGTTCATTTATAATAGTTCCTGTAAACCTAAATTAGTCATAACTAATAGTTATGAAATTCAAGGCTAAGGAATTTTTACATAACCTGCTCTAAAGAAGACGGCACGTCACCTTTGATAACCCTAGTTTTTTAAGATTTTATTTCGTAACCCATTGACGGATATTAAAAAAATTGTACCGACCAATTCACAGATTTGACATTCTTCTTCTCATACTTTTCTTCTTTCATTCTTCGGCTTCGTGCTCCTTGGTCAGTAACAGAGCGAGCGCGAGAGGGGAGAGAGGTTGGGTTCACTTCTGCTTCTACTTTGAGCCTTTTACATTCTGCGAGGTACAGGAAGGGTTGTTCATCGCCTAAAAGGAGCGGGATATATCGCAGAGGAGAAGAAAGGCATTTAAAAATATCCTGTCACCTATTATATTTAACACATAAGCTTTTTAGTTATAATGTTAATAGCCACATCAGCTTTTAACGGGCCATTAAGCGATTAGTGAAACGGAATCTATAAATGTTATAAAATTGATAGTTTGAATCTTTTTATGATAAAATTAAAAGATGAGGATATATTTGTGAATTTTATGAAAGTTGAGGATATATTCAGCCAATAGTCTTATTACTAATGTTGGGATAATGGCCCAGGCCGAGGCCCGGCCCATTAACCCCCTTTTTTCTATCGGACGCACGTCATGACTAGGATCAGGCTGGGCGCAGGCCCACGACCCTTGGGAAGAGACGAACGTCGGGAATGGGGGGGTCCAGGTTCAACGGCCCATCGCGACGGACGTCTGTGCAGAGGTAAGGGGCAGGACCACTGGCCATCTGGGGTACGACGAACGTCTCCGGAGAAGGCCCATGATCGTCGGAAGAGATCCAGTCCACATGAGAGAATCCACAAGGTCAGGGGACGAACAGCCGAAGTCCCTTGAGGGTCACTTGGAGTGACCCAGCTCACCCCCTGGCGGACGAACGTCCCCATTATTTAGGCGGGAAGCCTAGATTCTGGCGGGAAGTGCATTTAATGCAGAAGATTTGGTGGTTGGGACACAAGCGGTCCGCAGGCCTCCACGTCAGCATAGCCACCTGCCCATTGGCGGGTATAAATAGAAGCATTTATTTCATTGTAAGGGGTTGGCAACTTTCTATTCTTAGCACTAGCTATAGCATCCTTACTCGCAGCACTTCTACTGCCTTGTAAGACGAACGGCCGACGGAGCCCTTAGCAAGAAGTATTGTATTAGGGAGTTATTAAGAGATAATAATACCTAATCATTTACTTGCTACTTCTTGTTCTCTATAGTTCATATCATCTGCTTGTTGGGTTAGATATCATACACTCACTCCACTCGAAATCTTTGGGCTTACGTGTTGGGTCCAAGGGTTGAAGGAATAAACCTCAACACTGGCGCCGTCTGTGGGAAACTGAACTAAAAGTTTCCAAAAAACTCTCCCAAACAGCTACTAAATCTACCCAAAGCAAGCACGATGACAAGAAACAACCGCCAGCGCGATCTCTCCGAGCAGTTGTCCCGCGGGCGAAGCAACCGCGGGCAAACCACGGAACGCTCCGAGACGTTGGGGACGACTGGGGGTGAGGGTGGCCTCACAAACCTCATCCCCCATGAAGCCAGGCATGACCCTCGACTCATGAGGGAACTGGCGGAGACAATGCGCCGAATGGCGGATGAACAGGAGGCGAACGAAGAGGTGCATTCAGCCAACACCATCTGGACTCCCATATCGCCTGTCCGCCGCATGCAGACCCTGGATGAGACAGCGGAATCTGCCGGACGTCGAACACCCATCCACATGAGGTTGGGCCAGAATCCGTCTTCCCATGGACCTGGGGGGCACACCAGCGCCAGCACTCCCCGCTATGGTTGGCAAGATGACCACCGGGGACGCACGCCGGAGGTTCCCTCCGAACAGCGGGGCACTGTCATTACCCCCGCCGCCAGCAACATTGGACGACGTTTCCAAAGACATGGCGCCCACATCACACGAAGGCAACCCGACGCGGTTGCCCCACGAAGGAACATTGCGCTCGAGGCCGCCCCTTCTGTGTCCCCCGGAAGGGCCGCACAGGAGGCCCGGCTAGAGGCAATGGAGCGGCGATTAGCCGAGATGGATAGACGGGCGGAGGCCACCCCAGCCACGCCGCGTTTCTCCCTCACTTCACCTTTCACCCCGAGGGTCATGAATGCAGAAATTCCGCGGGACTGCAGGCCCCCCCAGGGAATAGTTTACAACGGGACCGGAGATCCTAAGGCTCACCTGATCAGCTTCCAGGGGAACCTCTCTATGCTGGGGGCGTCTGATGAGGCCATCTGCCGGCTCTTCTTCAGCACCCTGAGGGGTCCCGCGCAAGAATGGTTCGGGCAGCTGAGGCCCGGATCCATTGATAATTACGAACAGCTGTCCCAGCAGTTCATGGCACAATTCGCTGCCAGCACCACCCCCAAGAAGAGCTTCACATCGCTCACAAGTGTGAAGCAGGGGAAGGATGAACCTCTGGCCCAATTCCTGGTCAGATGGAGAGATGAAGTGCTCCAGGTGGATGACCTGGACGAGCGGCTGGGAGTGAACATGTTCACCAGCGCTCTAGCAACGGGGGACCTATACCGGGACCTTCGGAGGAACCCCAGCACCAGCTATACTGAGGTGCTGGCTCGGGCGCAGAAGTATGCCTCCATTGAGGAGGAGATCAGAATGAGGGACGGCGCTCCTGCGGCCCCTTCCCGAAAATTGGCGGATAGGCTCGGTCCGGGAGGCGGACCATCCCCCCCAAACAAAAAGAAGAAGACGGACGGCGGCATGATTCCGTGGAAGGCTCATCCGGAGGCCAGCCGCATACGTCCGGACGAATACCACGTCCCTCTGGCTTACCCCGTCAGCCAGATCTTCGACGCCATCAAGGACAAGGGCATCCTCAAGGAGCCCCAAGACAAGAAGGCACTTATGGGTCATGATGAGACCGCATATTGCGAGTACCACCAGAGGGTCGGCCACCTCACCGACCACTGCAAGCAGCTGAGGATGGCCATCGACGAGCTGGTCCGACAAGGCTACCTGGGCGAGTTTACCCAACTGCTGAAGAAGAATAGCCCGAGGCAGCCAAATCCGAGATCGCGATCATGGCGCCGCGATGATCGGCGCGAGGCGGAACCGAAGGACGTAGACTATCGGAGTGCCGACAAACGTCCGGAGGGGTCCCTCGGCCCGGACGGCGGGAAAAAGAAGTTGGAGATCAAGGTGATCTTCGGGGGCGCTGAAACTGGGGACTCGCCTGCAGAGCGGAAGGAGTTTGAGAGGTCCCTCTATGTGGGCTCCATATCAGCACCCCCCGCCAAAAAGAACAAGGTGGAGGCCATCACATTTGGGCCGGCCGACCTGCCGATGTCACCGGCCCCCCACAGGGACGAGTTGGTGATCAGCATGGATGTCAACAATGCGATTGTGCGACGCGTCCTTGTTGATACAGGCAGCAGCGTGAACGTCCTCTACTGGGAAGCATTCGAGGGAATGAAGTTGAGGAAGGACCAGCTGGCCCCCCTACGTACCCCTCTTTCTGGCTTCACAGGGGACTGCATCGATGCGGAGGGTACCATCGGCCTCCCCGTTGAGATCGGGGATGGGCCACACACCACCCGCATCCGGATGACGTTCGTCGTGGTCCGCCTAAAATGTGCTCACAACGCAATTTTGGGCCGACCCGGCTTGGAGGATCTGGAGGCCATCTGCTCCGTGCGGCACTCATGCATCAAATTCCCCACCGAGACAGGGGTGGGGGTCGCCCGCACGGATCCACACATGGCCAGGGCCTGCTACACCAAGGCCATGGAGAGGTTCAGAGAGCGAGAAGCCCGGGTCAACAGCATCACTGAGAAGGCCAGACAGGCCGACTTCGACGCTCGTCTGGAACCGGCTGCCCTGCTCGAGGAGGTGGAGTTGGATGACCCTTCGGACAGGAAGGTGTCCATCGGGGCTGACCTAGAGCCAGAGATCAAGGAGGGTGTCACGCCCCAGACCGCAATCCAAGCGCGTGTACAACCGCCGTATAACTAAGTGACGTCACCCACGGGTCAACCTCACTTAATTACACAAGGCGTTCGAGAAAACAATCCATCCATACTCAGTAGTAAACATACATAACAACATCACATTAAACCAATGAATAGCGGAAATATTCAACGGTAAGTCATGGGCCACAACCGGCCGACAACATGGGCATGCAAGCCCCAAAAATAGTTTGTAGTAAAACAAATATCCATGAGCAAGTGTTCGGTAGTTTGAAAGAAAATAAGGAAGCACGAACCACGTCTCCCTGATTTGATATCACCCGTGAGAAGGTGCAAGTAGCAAGCTCTAGCTTCAACCTGAAAATGGTGGGGCCCCCCGAAGGGGTCAGTACAAGTACCGAGCGAGTAGCAGGCTAAATATAGAATAACTAGCGTTTCAAGTATAAGACCCAAACATAGGGTGATACTTAAATAAATAATCTTTCCCCCAAGTTATGAAATACTTATTAGTATATATATATACTTGGAAAATATCCGATCCGTAGATCACCATTTTATTCGGGAAAATAGTAATAGTCAATATTCTTGACTAAAAACCCCAACCCACCCATATACCTATGAGTGTATAGGACTCCTCCTTGTCCCTACTTGTATATCACAATCTATGAGTTTTAGGATCATAATCCTTGGATACTCCACCGGTTTGTGAGTGTTAAGGACTCATAAGTCCTAGGGTCCTCCACCAAGTTTGAGTGTTAAGTACTTTTAAGTACTAGGGTCCTCCACCAAGTTTGAGTGTTAAGGACTTTTAAGTCCTAGGGTCCTCCACCAAGTTTTGAGTGTTAAGTACTTTTAAGTACTAGGGTCCTCCACCAAGTTTGAGTGTTAAGGACTTTAAGTCCTAGGGTCCTCCACCAAGTTTGAGTGTTAAGTACTTTTTAAGTACTAGGGTCCTCCACCAAGTTTGAGTGTTAAGTACTTTTTAAGTACTAGGGTCCTCCACCAAGTTTGAGTGTTAAGTACTTTTTAAGTACTAGGGTCCTCCACCAAGTTTGAGTGTTAAGGACTTTAAGTCCTAGGGTCCTCCACCAAGTTTGAGTGTTAAGTACTTTTTAAGTACTAGGGTCCTCCACCAAGTTTGAGTGTTAAGTACTTTTTAAGTACTAGGGTCCTCCACCAAGTTTTCCTATGATCAACCTCCTATCAACCTAGATAGAGTCTATATCATCCTTAGTTACTCATAACTAATCCAATACATAAATCTTATGTATCACAATCCATGCAAAGCCATGCATTTAAATAAATATATAATTAACTAACATCAACCGATATTAATTAATCCATCATCCATCGGTCAACGTTGTCGTTGACCGCCAATTCAAGCCTTGTTCACATCAACTTAATCATCATATAATTAAGTCAATAATACTCATTTGAGCTTCTTTTACACTTCAAGCTAATGTGCATTTTATATAATCTCTCATATCATATTTCATGCATAATCAATTAATTCTTTTCATACAACTTGATAATGTTGGCTAATCACATGTTTAATTATCTTTTAAACATCATTATGAAAACATATAACATTTATTTAGGTAATCTCATAATTAACCCAAAAGTTATAAGATATTAAGCCGTCCACTCACCTTGAGCTAGCGTTTTGAAGTTTTACCCTTCTTGGTTGAACTCCGGTGAAACTCCGGCGACTTTTGGTCAACTCCGGCGACTACTCCGGCGACTTTTCCAACTTTGTGAAATCACTTGAAATACCCTTTACAAGTCCCTAACAAGGTTTTATAATCATAAAACCCATATTAATACAAATAACCTCAAAAAAGGTTATTTTCCGGTGAACCGGTCGTTTTGGCTTCTAAGTCCGTTCTTGGACATAGAATCACTTTCCAACCCATTAATCCATACTTATAACATGTAGAACCCTCTTAAGGATTCTTCACATGATATATATCTCATATGGTAGAAGAAAAATAAAGAAAAAGTTATAATAAGGTCATTACCTTAATTATTTCACACTTTTCCTAGCCTTTTTCCTTCTTTAATCCCACTTCTTGGATCCTCCTTGGTTGAGCTCGAGTTGCAGCAATGGAGGAGGGTTGGAGAGATGTTTCTTCCTCTTTCTTGGGTAGTTTGGTCGAGTACAATGAGGAGGAAGGAGGGGGATGGGTTCCTTTTGTCTCATTTAGCTAATAAGTGAGAGAGGGACCCCTTTGGTGTCTCTCAATGTCTCACCCTCCCATCAAGTGTACCATTGGCCTTCCTTTGGTCAATTTGAGCACACAAAAACGTGGGGTGGCCCCCACTCATGTGGGAGGTCATCCCTTTGTGTCCCGGTGTGTACAATCGGTCCCGAAAGTTGTATTTTTCGGACTGTTTTAATCATATTTTATTTTATCGGGTAAAATAAAATATATTACGTGCTCTTACTCATTATGGCATGTATAATGAATATACATTCCCCAACTTTAATTTATAAGCCTCTGAAATTCAGTTCGGGCTGTTACCAGTTAAATTACCAGTACTGGTAATTTGGGCTTCTTTTGACGAATCGGTCAACTCTGGGCCTTCCCATGATTCAAATGAAATATTCACCACTATATATTTATTATCTAGACCAAGATGAATAAAATATATGGTCTCGGGAATGTCGGGCGGCCCCCGCTCCCGGTGTGGGCCCCACGTGCAATTTACTATTCACGCGAAAGAATAATAAAAATTTACAACTTCGTAAATTCGTAAATCATTCCATAAGGTTTATTACATCATTTACTTGAAAGTAAATACATTTGGGGACGGTGTTACAAGTTCACCCCCCCTTATTTGGGATTTCGTCCCCGAAATCCGTGTGTCTAATCGAAAAGAAACGGGTATTGCTCCCTCATTGAGACTTCGGTCTCCCAAGTTTCTTCTTCGACTCGATCACTCCTCCAAAGGACCTTTACCATAGGAATCTCCTTATTCCTAAGCTTCTTCACTTGTTGACCTACTATCTTCACCGGCTCTACCGCATATTGCAAATCCTCACGGATTTCTACCGGTGGTTTCTCAAGAATATGAGATGGGTCCCGTATGTACTTCTTGAGCATCGATACATGAAACATGTCATGTATCTTCTCAAGCTCTGGTGTCAACTTGAGGCGGTAAGCCACGGCCCCAATCCTTTCAAGGATCTCAAATGGACCAATGTATCGGGGGTTAAGCTTCCCCCTCGATACAAATCGGATGATGCCCTTCCAAGGAGAAATCCTTAGGAAAACCTCATCACCGACCTCGAACTCCAACGGTCTCCGCCGTTTGTCAGCATAACTCTTCTGTCGGTCCTGAGCGGCCTTCAGTCTATCCCGAATGATCCTTACCTTGGCCTTGGTGATCTCAACCAGTTCTATCCCTTCGAGTTTGGCCTCGCCAACCTCGTCCCAACACAACGGTGTCCTGCATTTCCTCCCATACAATGCTTCATATGGAGGCATGCCGATACTTGCTTGATAACTGTTGTTATAAGCAAACTCCACTAGGGCCAAATGCTTGTCCCAACTTCCTTGGAATTCCAAAGCACATGCCCTAAGCATGTCTTCCAGAATCTGTATCACCCGCTCGGACTGTCCATCCGTCTGTGGGTGAAAAGCTGTGCTAAACTTCAGTTTAGTCCCCAAAGATGCTTGAAACTTTGGCCAAAATCGGGATGTGAATCGTGGATCCCTATCCGAGACAATGGATATTGGGACTCCATGTAATCTCACAATCTCCTCCGTGTATAGCTTGGCCAATCTTTCAATAGGATAAGTAATGTTGATAGGCAGAAAGTGTGCACTCTTGGTGAGCCTATCAACCACTACCCAAACGGCATCGTAGTTGTTCACTGTTCGTGGCAGCCCCACCACGAAGTCCATGGTCACATGCTCCCACTTCCACTCTGGGATGGTGAGTGGCTGCAGGAGCCCTGCCGGGTGCTGATGTTCTGCCTTAACTTGCTGGCAAGTAAGGCATCGACTCACATACTCGGCGATGTCTCTTTTCATACCTGACCACCAGTAACTTTCCTTCAAATCTCGGTACATCTTAGTACCTCCTGGATGCATAGCATAAGCCGAAGAATGAGCCTCCTCAAGTATAGATTTCTGGAGTTCCTCATTCCTTGGTATGCACACACGATCTTTAAACAATAAAAGACCGTCATCACGTACCCGAAAATTCTCAACGGGTCCTTCCAAGATCCTTTCACAGATCTTCTGACATTCCTCATCCATGGCCTGACTCCGACTAATCTCGCCCAATAGGGTGGGCCTAACCTCGAATCGAGCAATGAGAGCCCCACACGTGGACACCTCCACGCGTGCCCTCAATGCCTGTAGACATGTGAGTAGCGTCCCTGTCGTATTCTTCCTGCTCAGTGCGTCGGCCACGACATTGGCCTTTCCGGGATGATAGTCGATGATCAAGTCATAGTCCTTGATCAACTCCATCCATCTCCTCTGCCTCATATTCAACTCTTTCTGAGTGAATACGTACTTCAAGCTCTTATGGTCTGTAAAAATGTGACATGTCTCCCCGTAGAGATAATGCCTCCAGATTTTCAGTGCAAACACTACCGCCCCCAATTCTAGGTCATGGGTAGGGTAGTTCACCTCGTGCTTTCTCAATTGCCTTGAAGCATATGCAATCACTTTACCGTTTTGCATCAGTACACATCCAAGCCCTTGGATGCTAGCATCGCTGTATATATCATACCCTATCCCTTGTATGGGTAGGGTAAGGACTGGTGCTTCGGTAAGTCGTTTCTTCAGTTCAAGGAATCCTTTCTCACACTTGTCGTCCCATATGAACTTGGCCCCTTTCTTTGTGAGCTTCGTAAATGGAGACGCCAATACAGAAAATTTTTCAACAAATTTACGATAGTATCCCGCTAGGCCAAGGAAACTACGTATCTCTTTCACATTCTTGGGTCTCTCCCAATCCATGATAGCCTTTATCTTGGCGTTATCCACAGCAACGCCCGAACCGGATATGACGTGACCGAGAAAACCAATCTCCTTGAGCCAAAATTCGCATTTAGAGAACTTGGCAAAGAGTTGTTTTTCCCTTAGTCGATCAAGTATAAGCCCCAAGTGATGTTCGTGCTCCTCCTCACTCTTGGAGTATATTAAGATATCATCAATGAATACTATCACAAATTGATCTAAGTATTCACTAAACACCCGGTTCATCAAGTCCATGAATGCCGCCGGTGCGTTGGTCAAACCAAATGACATCACAAGGAACTCGTAATGACCATACCTAGTGCGAAATGCACTCTTAGGTATGTCGCTCTCCTTGATCTTCAACTGATGATACCCCGACCTCAAGTCAATCTTCGAGAATACTATAGCCCCTCGAAGTTGATCAAACAAGTCATCAATCCTAGGTAAAGGATACCTGTTCTTGATTGTGACCTTGTTCAACTGTCGGTAGTCGATACACATTCTTAGTGTACCATCTTTCTTCTTTACGAAGAGTACGGGGGCTCCCCACGGTGAATGACTGGGTCTGATGAACCCGTTGTCCAGTAATTCTTGTAGTTGGACCTTCAACTCTTGGAGTTCGGCCGGTGCCATTCGATAAGGGGGAATCGAAATGGGTTTGGTTCCCGGCTCCACTTCGATTACAAACTCTATCTCTCTATCGGGTGGGAGCCCCGGTAGGTCTTTGGGAAAGACATCCGGGTATTTGCACACGACCCGTACATCTTTGATGTCGACTTCCTTCTTGGTATCGTCCACCACGTAGGCAAGGTATGCGTGGCATCCCTTCCTCATCATCTTCCGTGCTCTCATCACGGATATTATACAAGCATTAGATTTCCCCCGATCTCCCTCGAAACATAGTGTGTTTCCTTGATCATCCTCGAGCTCTAACACCTTGGTGTAGCAATCTACTCGAGCATGGTGTTTCTCGAGCCAATCCATTCCTAGGATTGCATCGAACTCCAACATGCTTAGAGGTACGAAATCACAAGTCAAAGGTCGACCCGTCACTTCTACCTCGCACGACGGATAGTAATGATTTCTCTCCACGTCGTCTCCTAACGGTGTGGAAACTAGCAATGTTTGCGTCATAGGTGTCAATGGCACGTCAAGGCCCTCGGCGAACGCCTCACTCACAAATGAGCGTTGTGCCCCGGTATCGATGAGGATCCTCGCACACCTACCATTGATCTTTAATGTTCCTACATTTATACACCATGTAAGATACATTTTCTAATGTTTTTACACATCATTAGGATGTTATTAGGTCCATACAAATGTTTGGAATCAAACGGGGGTCCAAACGTAGAAGAACGGGGCGAAAAAATCAACTTTCGGGTGTTGGGGGTCCACGCACGGCGTGCCTGGGTGGCAGGCACGGCCGTGCGTGCAACAAACCCACCCTGCTGTCCACTGCCGGCCAGGCACGATGCCAGGCACGGCGTGCCTGCGGCCGTGCCTGGCCAAAACTTCTTCGGACACCACTGCCTCCCAGGCACGACGCCAGGCACGGCGTGCCTGCGGCCGTGCCTGGCCCAAATTTTTTTTCTTTTCCTTTTTTCTCTTCGGGTGCCACTGCCTTCCAGGCACGATTCCAGGCACGGCGTGCCTGAGGGCGTGCCTGGCCGGCAGTGGCTGTTTCCAGCCAGATTCGGCCTAACTCACCCGGTTCGACCCCGGGGTGGCCCACACTCAATCCCAACGACGTATATGATCAAAGTAAGCCTAGAAATACATGGGAATACGCGTATTACCTGCAACGGAGTCCGGGTTTGCTCGCGCATCCGCCTCGGTCATTGCGTACACTCGTGCTTGGGTCCCGCCTTGATTTACGGACGCGGCATGGCTTGTGGACGCGCCGCCTCTTCCCGTACCGCCGTTTGACGGTCCCGCACGGTTTCTTCCCGTCATGGTTCCTCCTCCGGATCCCGAAGCTCCTCCTCCCCCTAATTGTGGGCAATTTGCCTTCATGTGGCCCGTGTTCCCGCATTGATAACACCTTGGGGGTGCATTGCACTTCCCAAAATGATTTTTCGAACAATTGGCACACTTTGGAGGCCCCGTCCTTTGTGAGGAGGATGCATGCCACCGAGCATCCCTGTTCTTCTTTGCCGGTGGTGCCGGTGTCTTGAACGAACCGCCACCTCCACCGTGCTTATCCTTCCGTGCTTG